TCACTTAGAATTATTTTCAATACAATGAGGTTGAAAATAATCTACATTATTGCAATGGACAGGGAAACTACAAAAAAATCAACATTGACTGCATTTTTATTTATTGTTTTTATAATTATAATGTTTATGTTTATTGTAATAATTTTGAGCTTGATTTTTCCAATGATTATCACCATCATATTGTATTTTGCCACTCAAAATTCGGTTAATTGATCGACACCAACTATATATTAGGACATTCATGGTCATATTAATAAAAATGTCTTTAACAATTTTAGCATGCGCATTACATTGTTGAGGAAAATTCACAGAAATCTCTACGTACATTTTTAGGGTGTGTTTTAAATTGTCTTTAGGTACATTATTTTTTTTTAAACAATTTGTAACAATATTCTGAATTTCATTAAAAGTATTTATTAACGCATTTGATGGGTAACACAACCATGATTTGCCTTTTTGATATTCTTTTCTCTTTATATAATCATTTCTAGAATCATTTTGGTCCCCAATTAAAATCTGCTTGCATGTTTTACAAGAACCAATTCTTTTTAAACACTTAGTCAGGACCCAGCCACATACATAGTTTTTCTGTCCATGGTCTTGAATAACATTATTATAATCATAAACTAATACATCAACATCATATTCAGTGCATGAATTTGTATTGCTTACAACTGTTACATTGTTTTCGATATAACTAGGTGAAGTTAAAAAAAAATCTAAACTTTGCAAACAGTCATTATTGTCAATCTCACAGTTAGCTCCTATTGAGTGGGTTGAATTATAATTATTCAGTAGCAAAGATTTATAGGCGCCTTCGAAGGCTATACAATTAGGGGCTATGTTTCTGGCACCATAGCTTCTTATATTGCCAAAAAAATTTTCAACCGGGTCCTGGTTAAAGTGTCTGGTTAACATGCAATCAAATTTATAAATTGAAGATATTTTTTTCCAAATAAACCTCATTCCTTCAATTGTACTGATCAAATTTTTTACCGAAGGTGGTATAGTTTCAATTAACCTAATTTTGCCTGCAGTTTGTTTGGCAGAAATGAATTTAATGCTTTTAAATGTTTTAATTGCATTTTCCCATAGATGATGATGAGGTGAAAATGCTCTTACAGGGCCTTTATATATTTTGCCATTAGGTATGTGAAAAGTATTTGAATTTAATGAATCGAACACATTGTCAATTAATGTTACGATTGGGACTAACTGTTGACATTCCTCAGGCAATATTTTTCTTGCTGTCAAATGATTTGTTGTACATGCAACTGTGTGGCTGAACATTTGAGCTGCATTTTTTACACGCATCTTTTTAATTTTGTCTTTATAAACATGTTCATCTGTAATTTTTTGTAGACATCTCAGTTCTCCTTCACATTTATCAGCTTCATACAGTCTTATAAAATATTCCCACTTTACAACTTTCTCTTTGTTTTGATCATTATAGTCAATATATAACATATCTTTAGTCAATAAGTTGTTCCTTAAACCTTTTAACAGGTGAGGTACATCATACAATGGTGTAATCTCTTGATTATTTATTATAAAATTATTATTTTTCCATTCTTTTCCTGCTTTGTTGTATCTTTCTTTTGTTTCAGCAACTAAGGCTGATACAGCAGCTACATTAGTAGTGCCCTGATCGCACACTGTGCAAATCACTTTTAGGCCTGTGTTTTGTACTTTTGAAATTACATCTTTTATAATCACTTTTAAATCAGTTGTATTTAAACTATTCGTAAAATAATATGCTACAGGTTGTTTATAATTTGCCTTTATGCCCTTGACCATAAACACTAAAACATGGTTTGCAAATCCTTCGCTACCATGACTTGTAAACCCTTTTAATTTATCATTTGCTGCGTCATAATGGATTTGTGGGGTCAAAGACATTTCATCAAAAATTAAGGTACATAACCTTTCTTCAACCTTTAGCTTTTCCACAGCACTTTTTATTTTTCTAAAAACCACCTTATTCACACCTGGGTTTATTTTAATTTGTGCCAAAAGTCGTTTAAGCGATTTAGGTGAAGGTAATGTGAAGTATTTAGATAACAGACTAAATCCTTTTGGGCTTCTCTTATACAGGCTCAAACTCAATACCTTTTCTTCTATAGTAAAACGTCGTCCTTTAGCCTTAGTACTGGTCAACCGACTTTGCATTGCAGTGAATAATTTGGCTGGATTTGTCATGCTTTCAGTTACTTTTTTAAATGCACTCTCTTGGCTAATTTTACCAGCATTGATGAGACGCGTTTTAAAGGTGTCACATCTTTTTTGTAGCCTTTTTACTTGGCGCCTCAAGTTGATCACTTGCTTTTGGAATGGCTTGATAGTGTTTACCAATATTGCTGGCAATTTCTTTATAATGTCTGAAAAATCAAATTTAAATATGGTTATTTCAATATACACTGAATATCATAAACATAAAAAAATTTAAAAGAAATTGACAGACATCTCAAATTGTCAAACACAATACTTACACTTTTTAGATGATTTATCTCCTTGTGTTTTACAATAATTATGTTCTTTAATTATATTTGCGAGATGTAGTAGTCCATCAGCAATAACATCAGTTTCTGAAAATTATAAGTAATTACAATAAGTACCTATGCAATGAATACACACATAAAAAGTTCATATAGGTATTCAGAGTCGCCTATTAATCTCTAGACTAATTTATTAATCTGATCATGAAATTTTGTATGTATGCTAAATCTCATTCTGAATAACAATAAGTTCAATTCTAAACTGGTGCGAAAAGATACTAAAAATGTTGTCTATTTCTGATATACTAAAAAGACTCCAAAGAAACTCATTTTTCATTAATTTATGATGCAATAATAGAATCTTATGCTGGCTCTGATCCACAGATTATCTTCACAGATATTATTTTAACAAAATTATAAGAATCCCTTCCCAAATTTTTCAGTCTATGACAAAGAGGTACAATAATGTTGTGTTAATTCATACAAATTGATTTGGTTGATTATTTCTGAGGGTCAATATATAATCAAAACGTCATGGTGTAAAAATTGCATTGTAATTTCATACACACCTGTTTCAGTCAAATCTTTTCCTTTAAGTGAAGTCTCAAAATTTTGTGATTCATTAATACCACTTTTGACTGAAAAATAAAAGGAATATAATTATTTTTGAAATTATGTTTGTGAAAAAAAAATTAAAATGGAATAATAAAAAGTTTACGTAAGTAAGTAAATAAGTGTAAGTAAATAATAGACATTTATTTCACACAGACCTTTTTCAGTTATGTCTTGTTCCTGAATTCTGTACTGAAATGAACTTCCACTATATTGTCCATTAACATCACTGTTGACTGTAAAATAAAAGGTATACAATAATTAACATATCGCAAATGAATGCCATTAGTTATTTTAAAATAGGTTCAAATAACTTACCAATGGAAGCATGTGTTGACTGGGGTACAGTTTTTAGATTATTTTCTATGTTTAGGATAGGATGTCCTTGAAACAAAATATACTCAATTAGACCCGAAAATACAAAAAATGCAAACAAATCTGGTATCAGTACTATGGGTATGTCACAAACTCCTTGTTGCATTAGACACACACAGTTTCATAATTTCACTTCATATGTTATAATATCATAAACAGAAAGATATCTTACCAGGAAGATTTTGAGAAGGTACCTACTGCTAAAGCGTTAAGACGGTTTTTTCTGTTACGGACATCATTAGTGAAGTGTATGTCACAAACAACTTTTTTTCTATAAATTTCATAGTCAGTACTGGTCTCCAATTTCCCACCTGCTACTGATACCCAAGCTTTAAATTGTTCTGGAAACTTGTCAGGGTTGGGAAAATTATGACGTATCATACCTGTAAAAGTACAAACTAATTTGTGATTCTGTTTCAGTCATTAACATTCAAATTTTACTTAGTTATAATTTTATCTAAAAATATGTGGAATTGTAAAAACTAAAATAGTACATTTCCAAAAAGAGATTAAATGAAGGTTCCGTTGAAGATAAAAGTTTTTAAACTTACCACTAGAGAGTGGGCAGCCTAACGCACAGCGTTTAGGCATTGTAGTGTGGATGAAATAGAATACACAATAAAATTAAAACTAAAGACTAAAACCAATTCAGCGTCTTTTCGCACAGTTTTGAACAACACATAAAAAGCGTCTTTTCGCACACGGTTTAGAACAACACAGAAAAGCGTCTTTTCGCACAAGGTTTAGAACAACACAGAAAAGCGTCTTTTCGCGAATTGCAGAGGAACGAATTCAACTAGAATCCTCTTCCAAGAAATGTAGCGGTACGAAGGAGTGAACTCGACTTCAACACTTCAAAAGTTAAAATTGCTCGTCGTTACTCAGATAACAACAACAACAACGTCATCAGATCAGCCATTATTATTGCCATATCACAATCAATGTTGCTATGAACAAATTTTGTAATTTCTTCAATTTTCATTTACATAATAATAATTGTAATAACTTCTAAAAGGTTCTATAATTAATAATAATATTTCGTTCAAAAAATTTTTTTTTAATTATAACCTTATTAAAACGACAAATGCAGTAGTAGTGACATCTATGGTATCACATAGCAGTTATTTTATTACAAAATCTTTTAGGAATGGCTTAATAGATGGAGCTAGCTTCCATACAAATCTCATTTTATATGGTGATATAGGGAAGTGTCCCACCCCTGGTATGGACACTGACAAGACGTTCTTCAAGTTTGTCTTACTACGCATGCAGGCGCTGGCACGCGGAAGATTTTACTAATTATGCTGAGCATCTCCGCGTGATCTCCGCTTTTTCAAATTATAGGGTAACGACGATAGAAGAATGTTATGGATATGATATTTTGGATTTGAGAATTGATATTAGTCTCGGTTATGAATTCATGACTAAGCTTACCCTTATTTTAAGAAGAAGATAGATAAAAAGAAATGGAAGAATTGAAATCGAAACAACCCTAATGACATTATTGACATCAATGACATTCGTTAGTTGATGGTCGGAAGATTGGAGGAATGTATTGAAGATTTATTTACAAAATATAAAAAAATATCAACTTATGAAGAAGTGCAAATTAATTTATAAAACTACAAAAAAAAACTGCCAATCGAAGAATAAGTGCTAATAAATCAAAGAATAATTGAAGAAAGTTTGGTATTTTGTATGTGATTTAAGTTTTTTTTTAATACTAAACTTTAGTTTTTAGATAAATATACATTCAATAAGCGTTCTATTTGCGTCGATATATTCAAAAAATATTTTGTATTACAAAATATTGTCGATACATACTTTAATATACCTATAATATGATTACATAGTTGAACATATGATATAATTGCTATTTAGTCGTCTATTTGTTTAAACTTAACATAGTTATTCCCTATGAGATTACTCTACTTAGTATTAAACATATAAAAGTATAAATATCAAATATATATTAGGTATATCACTTGGATTAAATAATTGTAACATTATTTTAGGATCCAATAAATATAATGATCCGCCAAGGAAGTATTGACGATATAAACGCACAACAGTTTCTGAAAATATCTAATTATGAGGAGACAGTACGTCAGTTAGACATTTATTATGCCATTGGTAAGTATTTTCTACATTTTGGAATAGCAAATAAGTAAAATAGTTTCAGTTAATTGTAATTTGAATATCATTCTTCTTTAATAACTTTTTTCATAATTTTATATACCTTCAGCAACATTATTACTGATATACCTATTTCCTAATATGTAAATTACATATATAACAAGTTATATGAGACAAAGTAAAGTAATATTAAAAAAATACAAACAAAGTTGTAAATCTAATATGTGTCTTGGTCATGACGCAGCAAATACTATTTTACTAAACTTAATATCAAACCTTGAATGTTGGCAAGTACAAATACAATTGGTTCAATATTGTAATAAATGTACAATCTATATACTTAGTTGGAACACTTAACTAAATCTTACCCACTTCACTTATATAGAAGACTATAGCTAGACTGATTGAAAAAAATGAAATCTGCTCACACAAATGTAATAAAAAAAATTACTTGATTAAGTTAATCTTGGATTGATATCTTTTTCAGTAAAAAGACAGCTTTTGAGGTTCCAAAGTCCTATTACTGGACTATTTCCAGTTCTATCATCAGATCTTCACATAGGAAGTGTCAGAGACAGTATTTACTGTGCAGCAGCTGTATGGGGATTATATCAAGCTTATAGGTGAATATTTTAAACCATACCATACTGATATAAATGCACAATAAGAAATAACCATTATGTTGATTGCCAACAAATAGTAATGAAAAATGCTTAAAAACCAGTACCAGGAACAGTGGTCTTTTTAAATATTTTTCATTAAGAATATTTTTCAGTATAGCATTTTGAATGCAAAATTGATCAAATATAATAAGTCTCTGTATAAACACTTTATATTTTTGACAAAAAAGTTAAATTATTAACATTAATGCTAATAAATGGAAGAACCTTTGATTAAAGAATGTCAGCCATAAATTCATACTTGCAGCATTACAAGCTTCTTGCTATAAAATAGAAACATAGCTAGACATATTTTTCCTGTCCTCGAATAATTGCTCAATCAAAATCAAGGTAACTGTGATTGTCTTAAGAGGACACACAATGACCTACTTTCTATAATTCAAAATGAAAAGACTAGATCATATTTCTAAGGGTTTTGTCACAGTCAAAACATGACTACAAGATTTTTTCATTGGACAAAATTACCCTCAAAAATTCAGCATTTTTTCCTTAAACCATTTTTTATTGGGAAAATTAATTAATAAGTCACTTTGTAACAAATCACTTTGGAATAGGGATTTGGGGAATAAATCTTAAGTATACATAAAACGATACTTTTACTAGGGGTGTAACATCATAGGAGGATGGGCCATGACCTTCCACGCTGGCCCAATGAGGATTGGAGGGTATTGGGTATTATTCCTCCTCAACCATCCATAAGGAAGGCCTGAGCCCCTGCAGTGGGGACGTAAAAGGGCTGGTGTGGTGTGTGTAACGTCATAGCGACGCCATGTCAGATGTAAGCGTTTTCGCGAGAAAATTTGAATAAAATAAAAATATTTTTAAAAGTCATCTTCACTTGAGAATATGGTTGCTGAAGCGGAGTGATATGGTATATGATAAGTGATAATAAAGTTAATATTGTATTGAATTCACCATTTTAGACGAATTGATGATGATCGAGGCAAATCACATGAGCTAGGACAAAGCACAGTAAAATGCATGCGAGGTATACTCGAATGTTGGGTAAAGCAATCAGCGCGCGTGGAATCCTTCAAGACTCGACAAAGCGCCGCCCACGCGCTCCATGTCAAGTTCCATCTGACTACAGGCGAGCCTGTGTTACCAGATGACCAGTACCACCATCTACAGATAGATGTTGTCTCACTCTATCTGTTATTTTTAGTACAAATGATCACATCGGGACTTCAGATTATATATACACAGGTTGTATTGAGTTCATTGTCCACTTAACGCCTCTACTTTAAATGAACGCTTATTTAAAATTAAAACGCCATCTATTTGTTATGTAAGATGATATAGAGGGCTCCTCCCCTTTATGTTATTATTGTTTAAAAGGAGAACAGGGTCTTGAGGGTTTTTACGTAAAATAGTATTATTTCTTCTAATTTTAACGTAATAAATAGTAAACATCCCCTCCCCCCTTATAATATAATTATATGAGCTCAGAAACTACCAAAATAGTAATAATAAATGGTTAATGCATGTTTTTACAAAACCCAAACATGAATATAAGACATATTGCGATCAAAATTTGCTTTTTATGGTGATTGTAATTGAAATAAAAGAATATGACATTTGAAGTTGTGATCGAACTGGTGAAGGAGAATTATTAAGTTAATAATGATGATTTTACTATAAAATTTCAGGATGAAGTGGCCTTTGTGCAGAATCTAGTATATTATGTGGAACGTGCATACCGAACGCCAGATTATGGAATGTGGGAAAGAGGCACAAAGTACAATGATGGCAAACCAGAAATACATGCTTCATCTATAGGTAGGTATTGTATTTCTTTGTAGCCTAGTGGTTAAATCAGTTGTCCAATTGGGCGGCTAGCCCTTTAATTGAATGACGCTATTCATACTCACAAACGACGTTATTAATCGATACAGTCACGATTGTTACGATCTCTATTCGATACAGATACGACCGATAAGATAATAATAAACTGAGTATTTATGATCAGTATGATCAAAAACAGGACGCTAACGAACACGCTAGAGTTGTTCAAAACGAACAAAATACGTTAACACGCTGAACACTAAGTAATTAAATGCTAAGAAAAATTAGCGGGTTATTTAATGCGTTAATTTATTTACGCGCTAAGTATATAATAAAAAGGGTGCGCGGCAAACTGATTAAATGAGCAGTACACTAAATCTCGTAGCACTTTATTTATTACATGTCGATCTTTGAACTGAACGTGTGCTATGGTAAACAAAAATTGATTATTATTTTATTCTAATATCACATATATTAGAATAAAATAGTATTAAATTATCGTTTACTATAAACAATAATAATAAAAACAGTAAATGAACTATATATACATTTGTTATCTACACGTAATGCAATTTTATAAAACCCCTCACTAAAATTCGCCCTTATATTTATTAACATTATCATCTTTATTATAAACACGTACTTATCATAATTAATCATGTCAAAAAATGTACATGTAAAATATATATATTTTTTTGATTCATTAATCTTACCAGGCATGGCAAAAGCAGCCTTAGAAGCAATCAACGGTTGCAATCTATTTGGTGATAAGGGCGCATCGTGGAGTGTTGTGTATGTGGACATCGATGCACACAATCGTAACAGGAGTATATTTGAAACTATGCTCCCGCGTGAATCCAGTTCTAAGGTAGTCATAACGAAAAAACATATTTATATTAATCCTATTTATGGTTTCATATCCAAAGGGTAAAACGGGAACCCTATTACTAAGACTTCGTTGTCTGTCTGTCTGTCTCATGAACCGTGAAAATAACACAGATGATGTATTTCCACTTCAACAACAAATGCAAAAAATCCAGATTCCGGTACAGAATCATTCGTGCGCGAGTCCGACTCTCACTTGGCCGGTTTTTGTGATTAAGTTTATACTTTTCTCTGCACTTCACTGAAAGTTCGAAAATGGTTTTAATTCGTGCCGAGCAACCGCCTCCTTATGATTTTAACATTTAAAATTATATATTAGTCTAAGCCAATTTATCAATAACCAAATTAAAAAAAATTGGGCACTTTTTATATCTATGTAAGTCTTATTATGAGTAGCTCGGTGGCATAGTGGATAAGCGCCGCGGCCCGCGATCGTTGTCGTTGAGCAACTTTCGCAAGGGTCGGTCACGGGATGGGTGACCAAAAAAAAATATTATCTCGAGCTACTCCGTGCTTCGGAAGGCACGCTAAGCCGTTGGTCCCGGCTGCATTTGCAGTCGTTAATACCCTCCAATTCGCATTGGGCCAGCGTGGAGGGTTTTGGCCCATCCTCCTTAACCATCCATAAGGAAGGCCTGAGCCCCTGCAGTGGGGACGTAAAAGGGCTGGTGAAGTGAAGTGAAGTGAAGTCTTATTATGCAAATAAATCTGTCTATATTTTGCTACCAGGGTGTTGATGCCGCATTATTGCCAACAATATCGTTCCCGGCGTTCGCAACCCATGAAGAACATCTACTCCAATTGACGAAATCAAACATATTACGTCGTCTACAAGGCAAATATGGTTTCAAGAGATTCAGTCGCGATGGTTACAAATGCGTCCTCGAAGATCCGACTAGGAGGTATTATAATGAAGGGGAAATGAAGGAGTTCGATGGTGTTGAATCTGAATGGCCTTTGTTCTATGTGATGATGATCATCGATGGAGTGTTCCGTACTCAGCCGGAACAAGTGGAAGAGTATCAGAGGTTATTGAAAGCAAGGATATACATGGACGAATATGGAGGTTGCGTATCAAATCCTATTTTGATTGTACATTTATGTAACAAATAAAGTAAGTCGTTGCTAAAGCCGAATTTACATAAAGTAGTTGCATGAAACTACTTTCATTGCATTCATTTGCACATGCAAATTTTCATTTTTACAATCTATGTATCAGTTTCATGACATTAGAGTAGTTTGGTGCGATGCGCATATTTTTGTTGAAACTACTTTCACAAGCTAATACCTCTATTAACATGAAAAGAAACTAGTGTTGCGACATCATCTGGGCATAGTAAAGCTTCGATACTGACGGAGCTTGTATCTTGGAGATACAAGCTCCTTCATGTTGATTGAACGCCATTACTTACGTGAAACATGTTTTTAGTTTCATGCGACTATTTTCGTAATGTTAATTTTTTCCTTCCAGATCCGGTGATACCTTGGTACTATTACGTTCCACGCGAGGGCATAGACAATGAACGTAATGAACCAAATTCGGTCCGCCGACTGCCAGCAAGTAAGTATTACTTAACATGTAAGCAATCGGTAATCAAAATAACTTAAAGTAACTAGCTGGACATCTTACAAAAGTATCAAATTTATAGATTGTTTATTAAAGTATGTGAATAATTACAGGCAAACCTGGTGATGTTGACGATAAAGGTAAAAATTACTTTGCCTTTTGGTGAATGGATGTCTAATCTTCTTTCTTCTTTCCTAACTTTCATTTTGCCGATTTAGGTAGATTGTAACACGCTTTATGTCTAAAATAATAGTAAATTATTAACTTATGATACATTATTAATGGTGTATATTGCCTGTATATCATCGATATCATGAACCATTGTATTATTTACTTATACAGGGCTATTTTTAAAACATCGGTAAACTCATAGGACTGGATGACTAACATCATAAACAACAACGCTAGATCGACGAGGTTAACTATAACTTAATAGGTGGAATAAAAAGGATTTTTCAAGTAGTTATAGTGATATTTATTAGCATATTTTATTTTAAACGAAAGGACAACACTCGCATATTAGAAACTAGATGCGCGTAGAATTATTGACATTATTAAAACGTTATAATTTTTTTTTTGTGTAAACTATCTTGCCCTGTGTGATTGTTGGTGTTTGACAACTAACCCTGTATATATGTCGTGGCTATATCGTAGAATTAATCATCTCATGATCTGGCCGGCCATTTCATAAAATAGTTGTATTTCATGAAAAAGCTAAAATTGAACATATCGTTTAAGGGTCAACGTTTGAGATATGGCAATCCACGTTTGTGTCCAAAAATAAATTTAATTATTTGCTGAAATAGTTTATTTACATGTTAGCGTTATGATTTTGTGGTCTGAAAAAATATCTGAATAAATGATCGTCTTATTTTTCTAACATATCACGTGACCTACAGTTAGGGTTGCTAGGTGGCCGGGATTTCCGGGATTATCCCTCAATTTTGCGTGCTGTCCCGTGTCCAATAATTTACTTTGCTGTGCTGGAACGAAAAAAATACTAGTTTTTCCACTAAGTTACGATATTTTGGCGTGAGGTGAGCAAGGGGAAGGGTGACCGGATTTAAGTTAAATTACATTTTTTGTATTGAATAGTATAAGAATGTAATAAATATGAAAAAAATATGTTTTTTAAATTATCCAAAAAAAAATTTTTTTTTCATCAACCAATAGTAATTCCTAATTAGTTTAGTCTCGGACCGTAGACCAAAACTGATTCCGTTGCCCCAGAAATGTCCAGAAAATGATCAACCTCTATCTGGCAACCCTACCTACAGTAGTGAATTATATAGGAAATTAAGTTCGGTTCACATCTCAAAAACTTTTATATCCTCCAATTTATTCTTATTCTCCTCTGGAGCTAGATCAAAATCCTGTCTTTATCATAATTTTTCGACATAGCCATATAACTATAGAATAGTCTTTGCTCTCGCAACTTCGCATTACGCTCCTACAATTAAATCACTAAACCCTACTTTGTGTGTACACAAAGTAGGGTTTAGTGATAGGTAAGAGGCGCTGATACACAATGTGACATCAGCGCCTCTTACTGAGACTAATGTAACAATTTTATGATATGATTACTACTGCTTGTCGACATCATGAAGCAGTCATACGATCAGGCCAGGCCACATCATGATGTAGGTAAGCAAGATTTTTCCATTTTATGAAATTGCCGGCCGTATTATAAATTGGTCAATTCTACGATCTGGCCATGACATATGAATATATCAATGGTGTTATGATATTCAATAAAAATAATTGTCATTTAAACTTTGACTATATTATTATTATTTTATAGTAGCATTAGTGCTTTAATTTTCAAAAGTTTACTGGAATGTGCTCACTTATGAACAATCACTTTGTAGAACCTAATTTAAATATATTTAGCTTGCCTGTGAAAACGCTGAAGTCATTACATCATATTGCGAGTTTTTATATATCAGAAGTATAGGTATTAACTCTCTTAAAGTACAGAGCAGACTTACCTACAGCACCACTTCAGCACTATTAATTCTGATTCTCAAGATCAGGCTGATCTTGTCAACATACTGAAATATATTCTTAATGAAAAATACTTAAAAAAACCACTTTGACCCTGGTACTCTGAGATGGGATTCGATCCCACGACCTTTCACAATCTGTGCAACTTTTTCATCAAGAATATTTTCCAGTATAGCATTGTGAATGCAAAATTTATCAAATATAATAACACTGTAACATATTATTACGACCTCATTTTTAGTTATATTTTTTTTGGTCACATAATTTTGATCTAGTACCGTAAGTTACAACTAGTGTGAAGCATTTGAATCTTTGTTTGCGCAGACCAAACTTACCGACCGAACATATGATTGAAATTTATAATGAGTCTCGTTTTAATTATCAAGATGTGAAATACAGTGGTTTTAAGTATCCGTTTCACTCTCACTCGAAGGGGGTGACGCTCGCGATACTAGAATCATTAGTTGAATGTTACTACAATTGACTTTAGTTCCCTCTTAACCGTGGACTATGAAACTGGTGGGCATATTACAAAGTGTAATGGTGGTCTTGACGAATGCAGACACGGGGGGCTTGTTCCTGTGGGCGCAGTCGCTATTCGTGGTATCGCAGCTATTGACGGGTGGGTTACTTCACGTGAACGAGCTCGACCCGATCCGCCGTTACCTGCCGTCGTATAACCGGCCACGTCGCGCCGGCAGATATTCTGCTTTCCAGGTATTCCACGCTTAGTAATGGGATCAAACATGCATAGGCATGACTTTAATATTACATATATCAAATTGTGAAGGGTTCGGTGTTAAGTAGGTATATTTATGGTATAAAGAAATAGCTATTGCAACAAAAAATAATAAGAACATACAGACAAACAATAATAAGAAAACAGTTCGCTCAAAATCGATATTTAGAAGTAGTCTTTTTTCTTAGTCTTTTATTTCACCAAACCAGTTCCAGCGGAGGATCAACGATGATCGCAAGACTAGCATATGCTGAGCTGATGTTGTGAGGCAATTTTTTTTCTGTTGATATTATTTATGTACTCATGGTTGCGATCAAATGTCTTATTATTACTAAACACGAAAACTAAACCCAAATTATACAAAATCCATTACATCTAAAAACGTGTTAGCTGCATTTTTGTGCAAGCAAAGGTGTAAAAGAGATGAAGTGAATTTCATATCTTATTTTGCGGTAGAACTTTTTGACATTTAAACACAAAAGGCGGACTTAATGCCAAAGGCATTCTACCAGAAAAAGATGTTGAAGTCAGGATGTAAGGCGATAAGAATAAAATGATATGGTTAAAATAGTCGTCAATCATAGATATCAAATGATTCGACAATTAATTATCATTAGTTATCTGCTGCTACGTTATTGTTAAATAACTATTCCGTTATATTGGTATATTTGACCGAATATCAGGGAATGTTCATATTTTTTTTTATCTGCATCTTTAAAAACACCTTTAAAAAACAGTAAAATATGTTTACAAAGCATAATCATTCAAAGGTATTTTTATTATACGATTAGAATATAATTTACACGTTCTGATTAATTGAATTGAGTTTTATTGAAAAAGTTCAACATTTATGGTTACAGCACTAAGACAACGTTAAGACGGAAGTAATATTATCGGTGATATATCTATTCTGGTAATTCTGATCCTATCTCTAGCACCTATGCCTGAGACTTGTGAAGTTTTAAACATATTTTTTTGATATATTTACGCGCATTGTAGCAGTAGCAGTTACCTATGCGCATAATGTGTTACTGCTATTATCGCTTTTATTTTTTCTTGTATGTAACGGCAAAGAATAATTGACTGATCATTAATTTGTTGTTAAATAAAACAACTCGTTATTAATTATATTTTCAATGTTATAACAGCCATTCATATGTAACAACGAATCGACGTATTTTTTTACTAGACTATTAACGCAATTTTAATTTACATTTAAGCAATTTTACTGCTGATCGAGTCGGCGTAATGTTTGAAATATTTTATTCGTAAACTAACTGCGGCTAAGTGAACGAATTGATAAGAATATAAGTGTGACCTTATGCAAGTCCACATACGGTTGTAATTCGTATAAAGAGTCCGAGTCACTCTACAAAAGTTATCGGATTTGGTCACTTAGCCGGTAATCTAGCTCTGTCCTAATTTCCAAGAAATATTTTGTAATACCTAATGTATGTGTTGTAAATTACATGGTTAAAAATAAATGAGTATGTTTGACCCTTTACAGTTAATATAATTAGAAGCTAGAACCATTAACGATTAACCCCTTAATTGTGACATCAATTCTATTGTGTAGTTAACCAAAATTACATAATTGACGATACTACGAGTTACATTTATTAGATAACCTAAGGAAATTGGAATCCTATCAATATAAACATAAAAATTATTTTACTTTCATGCTCCAATCGCAGGCCAAGCCGGCATTTGTAAGTATCGGATATGTAGCGAGAATCATCATCTCTTCAAATACATAGTCACTTTCTTCGCCTGTTTTTAATAAAGAATAATTTTATTATTACTGCACGAATACTTTCATCACGATCCATTGAATGTTATAACGTTTGTTTGAATGTATTAACACAATTAATTGTTAACTTAATAAAGTACAATTATTGTATCCACGATTTAACCTTTAAGTTTTTCGCTAAGCTGAAGTCTCTATATGAAAAATAGCTACATTAATTGATATGAAATGCTTTTGTATATTAAAATAGTATTGAAATACTATTGAATTGAAAAGTTATATGCGCATTTTTTCCAAAGTATGTTTGAATGCTCTCTTCGTGTATAGCACGATTATTGATATCATGTTATTTGTATCTTGTCTGCTAGAAACTTTGTATGAATGCAGGGTATAGCTACTGATCTAGTGGTGCAAGTCGTGTTGATAGCGGAGTCGATGCGGCTTCAAGCTATGATGGGCACGTACGGCATACAAACACAGACCCCGCACGAGGTGGAACCTGTACAGGTCAGTATGTCGTATTGTTCATGTGATTATAAGACATTGTATTTTTTGAAATAGGTTGTGACTCCCGAATGACAAAAGAAGTGACAAAAGAATGACAATAAATTTTTTAACTAACTACTTAAGGGTACTGAAGTGGATTTTATACAAGTGCATACATTTAATAAAAGTTTGTATGAACGTGCAATATAGATTAAAACATGATTACGTGAACTTGACAATGTGCGTGGGTGCGATGAGTGTGTTCTGTAAGTGCGTGTGTTTTGTGTGTGTGTGTGCGCGTGTGATTGTGTGTGTATGTATAAGCGCGCGGGCCAGTAGGTATATTGCAACGGTATAGTAATTAATATAATTGTGTTAAGTTAAATTGCAAGTTTCCAAATATGCCATTTTCACATGCTTAAGTTGTGTTTGGCAAAATTAGGTTTTCGTAGTCATCATAGTTAACTATTTCAGTATTATTTGGAATGTCATGTTCAAATCTATAATGCTTAGTTTGCACAATGAATTGCTTTGGGTCTTTCACTCTTAAGCGCATCGACCATATTCAAGTGATCGCTCATGCACCAGAATGGAACGCGCCGCAAGAGAGAAATTAACGAATTTTATAATTCTTTGCATTCAAACATATGAACTTATCCTATACTTATATGTATGAAAATAAGGTTATTTTAATTGAATGTACGTTTAGTGTTCCTTGGTCGATCATTCGAATTTAAAATCTGTTTTATATTTTCAAAAATATATAATATATTCACTCTATCACTCATCGACGGCCTATGTGATGATATTCTATATTATGTAGTTCATTTTAGTTGAGCGGTTATGTTTAGGTATGCAGTTCCACTCAACTAGTGCATGTGTACCGCGAGTTGGGTGTTTGCCCCAAATTGAAGCTGACCGGTCGGCCGATTCGACCCGTGGGGTCGCTTGGAACGAGTAAGGTAAAGTTGTTTGTGGTAGTATATATTAAACAACATCACATATGTACATTGCTCAGATTCCAAGATGAGTAGTTTTATGGAGTATCTGAGACAAGGAAGGTACCTCATCACCCAGACCCGAGACAATATAGAAAAGTTCCTTTTCCGACCCGACCGGGAATCGAACCCGGGATCTCAGAGATGGCGACACCTTGAAACCGGCGTAAGAACTACTTTGCTACGGAAGGCTACAGAACTAACTACATTTATACAAATAATCTTGTGCAAATAAAATTATAAAAAACCATTATTAATTTCAGATATATCGGGTGTGTGGCATGACTGTTTTGTGCTATCCTCTAATATTCGAAGTTTCAGAGTTTTATCTATATCGAGACATGGCACTTCTTATAGACGATATTAAAACGGAACTCCAATTTGTGGGGAAGTAAGTACCAAATTTAAAAAAAAAAAATTATATAGATAATTATAGAAATTAAAAAAAAACTGTATTCAAAAAAAATGACACGGCTATTATGTATAAATTTATTTTGTGATTTCTTGTAACTTTAACTTTTTCTCTTTTTACCCGACTGCGATGGATAAGCGAAAAGGAGGGTTATGATTTTGGCCGGTATGTTTGTATATAAGAATGTTCATTCATCTGTTCCCTAATAACTACGAAACTACTCATCGTAACTGGACCAATGAGGTATCATTAGAAGCGTCTTAGTTGTCCACGTGGTACAAACTATGTGACATTACATTATATTGGCAACAGCACCCTCTAGATACCATAAAGTAAAAAACTAAAAAAATATTTTATTTTATCATGCCGTGTAATCAAATGAAAGGGCTCAATTATCACATTTCAATATGTATTGATAATTTTTGCTTAAACACACCCGAAAATTAATTAAATAAAACTGTAGTCGGGTTTTAGTTTATGACCTAATTTTTTTATCATTATTACATGTTCCTTACGGGATTGACGATTCACATTAATTCAGTTTATCTTGATATAATCAAGTAGCTCGAAGGCGCAGTGGTTAGCGCATTCAATGTGGCATGCGGATATGACCAAAAGGTATTATCTCGAGCTTAAGGCACAAAACTATGGTCTCGGTTGTATCTGTAGACTTTAAAATCCACCAAACCGCACTGGGCCCGCTTGATTCCTTGGCGTCTCATTTTCCCTAATCGACTGCATCCATAGGGAAGGCATGTGTGGATATCAATAGACTGATAATGATGATATAACCCAGAACGCGGGCTCGGTATGAATCGATGGATATTAAACAACAAAATGCAGCCGGGACTGCTGAGCTAATAAACCTTGATCTGTATAAATAAGGAACATTATCGTTGGCCAGGTACTGGCGGTTATCTGGACGGCCAACTGTGTGTTTGCTCGTGCGCGAGGAGCATATGAGGGATCCGCACTTCAAACAAATGTTAGATTTATTCGCGATGCTTAAGAAGGGCCACTGTGATGGGGTTAAGGTTCGGCTCGGACGCTTGCAAAACCTCATCTCTAGCTCCTGCATGGGTGAGTTTCATAGAAAATGGGTTTTCTTTTAATGTCACTAAGAGTTATTATTTTTCAGTTTAATTATTGAATAATTAGATATTTTATAAATATTAATTTTTATGAATAAAATTATCCATATTTTTATGTACCTAATTACGTTTTCCATTTGTAATATAATATTATTGATATATTCAACTAAGCGTTGGATATATAAATGAAAATAAAATATATCTTAGTACTTTCGACGGACTGACCGATCATCAGTTAAGTGCTATATTTGTCAGTTCCGAAGTTACGTGATGATACGTCACATAGTCTCTTTCAGATTGCATCAACCCTAAGTTTTGGTAATTGTTAGTAATCAAAATACTTTTATTTGACTAAATTAAATATTGGTTAAAAAATAAAAATGGCAAATAATTACGGTCAAAGTGTGAAAAAATCGTACAAACCAAATATTGGCTTAAATAGTCAACATGTGAAATATTTTTGTTCGTAGAACACTTGGACTTCATGAACCAAGGAGAGTTTCCGTCAGAAATGTTCACTCAATTCCGTCAACTCGAGCACGAGTACATCGGCTACCAGTCTCTGACGGACGTTCCTCGCACGCTCACTTACCGCGAGGAGGCGCTCTCGTACGAAAGCTACAAGCATCGCTCAACGCCCGACGTAGTGGCGGCATTGAGGGCAACCGATAACATATACGCCCAGTGTCAGCTGTGGGGCATCCTAATGGAGCGAGAAGGCCCTCTATACGAGGTGAGCCTATGGTCCATATCCCCCATATGGAGAATGAACTAAGTTTGAATGTACATTCAAACCACCACTCCCCCTTCTTCCGCTTAAACTATTTCATTCGAGTTTCGACGTGCGGGAATGATTTTAGGACTTTGGGTGCTTTACATTAAGCAACTCTTTAGAATTTCTAGAGGGGGGGACTTTGATTCAGCTATTTAGTATTTTACATTAATAACAACTACATTTTTACATGGTTGTGATGTAGCGAACCCCCACTCCTCAACTTGGATGCTTATTATCTTAGTAATATTTTTTCTGTTTTGTGACTGACAGACTAAATAGAAGTTCTTTTTTGATCCTGTCATCATCCTCTTGGCGTAGCAGATAAACGTCGCGGAAAGCACGAAAGCACGTTAAGCCATTGCATGAACTTCCTATTTTAAACATGAGATGTTAAATAATGTTATATTGTTGGAATTCTAAAATATTCAAATCAGGTTTCCTGGTTCAAGGGGTACCTAACTTAGTGAAATATATAATTTTTACGAAATATATAAGGAAATATGACTGTGATAATTGGTTAAAAAATTGTTATGCCTTTCAAAAATGAAACTCGTACGCAGCTTATTACCCTATACTGTGACTAGAGATGGGCAAAGTGTTTCCGCCCGGCGGGCAGATAGGGAAAAACCCATGTAATATCATAATAAGTCGGTTTTTGAGATAAGTATTAGTTTCACTTTTTTAAAGTTTGAAGTCGAATGAATAATGAACTGTAATATAGCGTATAATTTGAATAAATAAAAATAAAAAAGTTACATCGCCGTAACTTATAATCATGGTTCTACTGTACGTCAGGTAAACGGCAGCACTGCTCTGGAGTCATTGAAGAGCTTGTACCATAGCGCGGGCGTGTTACGTCACTGGCGAGCGGTGCGGTACTGTTCCTCGCTGCTTAACCACACAGTCGACTCCATCAGCCCATTCATCACAACCGTACTCGTTAACGGAAAACAGGTGAAAATTCGCTAGCTCGACAGATTTTTGTATTTTTATTTATCTTGCGGAACCTTTGTATAGACGGTGATAATAATAAAAACTTAAAATGTAATTCCAATTCAAAATTTTGTATTTCACTGCTAAATCATCGGATAGTCCTTAGATAGGGATGACAACATTTTTTTTTTTTATTTGTCCGTCAGGTAGATTTTTGTAAAATATTATTATACACGTATTTTTTTGCGTAATCGTTTAATGAAGAAGTATTTAAAAAAAAAACATTATTTCCCGAAATCTAACTAAATGTCGCCACGGATCTTTCCGGTTTTGTTTCATGATCAAAAGTAAATTAATTTTCAAAACTGAATAAACAACTCATATTCTATTTGTAATTTTTCGTATTTATTTTGATATCTAAGTTTCGAACTTTTCCAATTTCTGTTTTTTAATATGTTAGTTAAAAGGAACGGAAATTACTGTCTTTGGTTCATTCGTTTCCTGCAAATCAACTTTTGCTAGAGTCGCCATCTAGTGGAGGTGCTTTTTAATGCTTTCGGTTTTTTTAAAAACTTCCTCATTAAAATGTCACATGACGTCACGCATTTGTACGTTTTGTTAAACTGAAATGTAGCGAGCTCCCTACTCCTCAAATTTAATGCCTGTTATCTAAACAATTTCTCGTTCAAATGTAGTAAAAAAATACGTATCTAATATTTTTCTATTATCTGACTCACAGACTAAATAAATATTTTATTTTACCCAGTTACCATCCCTATTCCACGATAAATGTAATTTTGTGGAATTCTAGTGGTTTTTCCAGGGAACTTCAAGTGGAAACCTGATATCAGAAGACTTAAAGTTTTTTTATTTTATTTTTGAAGGTTGATTATTTTGCCGTTGGTTTAAAAAAATATGTTTGAATGACGAAATGAGTGTGGGGTTCTTAACATTATTACTATAGATTGCTTGGATTAATTATTCTAATTCTTTAAGATTATGGATAAGGCTTATTTATCTAAAGTAAAAAGCAACATAAATTTGTATTCTTAAACAGTTGACAGTGGGAGTTATTGGTCACAAGGAGACTGTATTCGATAAGCCGATGACCCCCGGCGAGATACAGTCCGTCATGTACTCTACGATACAGCCATATGACGTCATTGGTGCTGTGTTGCAGCAGGTATAGTTATTATTATGGAAAATTACCTTACTACCAATTAACTATATAGCCCATTGTAACAACATAAGTTGTTTGGTCGATCGAATGAGTGTGTCATTCGCTGTGACGTCATGTTACCAAAAACTGTTAAAAACTGGTATTGATGAGCGGAAATGTAGTTGATGTCACTTTTTATGTCACCTCTGCGAATTGTGTGATGATATTCATGAACAATCGACGTCATACACTTTTGTCTTTGTCGTTACGTGACTACGAGTGATTTAATTACGTTTTATTATTATTAAATGTTATTTCAAATACTAAATAATAACGACAAAATATTGTGATCCATATAATAATTATAAGGGGTTATCCTTAAACCGTCTTATTATAAAGCGAGAACTAACTTTAGTACTAGGTTTGACCAAAATAAGTTAACACTTTTCGATTTCACGTTTTCTCTTCAGCCAGTGTCAATTTGCTTTAGGCAGCCAATGGTTTAAACCAACTACGTGTAAGTCCTGGATTTATAATAAAACGGATGGGGTTTTTTTTTCTAACCCACCAAATAATTATAAAGTTCCTTTAGTTTCCGATATGACAAGACTTGACAAGTCTCTACTTGGTTCAACGATATTATCATGCGTAATAAGTATTTTCTCGATATGATGCTCGCAGGAGATAGTGCTGTATTGCGGGCGTCTGATCGGCACCAATCCGGATATGTTCCGAGGCATTCTGAAGATCCGCGTAGGCTGGGTACTGGAGGCTATTCGCATATACTTGCAACTGTTCCCGAGTGAGATACGAGCCGATGCAACTCTAGAGAGCCTCTCGCCGTACAAACTACGCACCTTGTTGCAACGCGTACTCACTGTCTCTGACTGGGCTGACGAGAAAGGGTAAGTCTGCAGGTGATATCTCAAGAAAATGTTTGCAGACTACGCCGCCTAACGACTTTTTTACAGGCGTTTTGGCTTTTACAGTCGCGTCTTATGTTTGACTACAAAGAAAATTATTCAAAATTAGCTCGTTCAAGAACAACGCCAAGAACTAACTATTACGAAGAATATCCAACGTTTCTGATCACTACCACAGAATAATACAGTAGCGAAACGTGAGCGGATTCTGGAAATAAATACCTACGCGGCATTGGATCGTTAGGGTTGCCTTCTTAATGAAACTAGTTAGTAATAAAACAATATTAGATGTATTATTTTTAAAAGATTTCTACTTTCGTCTGTTACGACTAGTTTTGATCGCTTTATTATTGAATTATATAGTATAAAAATCTTTTATTTTTTAAAATAAACTATCAAGGGGCGTTAAAAGGGAGTTCATCTATTTCATTTTTATTAATTCCGCTATTTTACAGTTAATGTTTTCTTTACTAAAACAACTGAGAAAAATGGCGTCTATCTTCATGACGAAATTATACGAAATTATCCTGTGGTACAATTAATAAATTTTGGTTGGCATCTTTTTTGTATTCCCGGTATTTTATATATCGCATTTTTGAAGAAAAGTTGTGGATTTGTTCTGTGGGCATTGTATATTTCTTCATAATTTCTTAATCAATGTAGCGTTCGGCACATTTCTGTAAGATATAACCACAAATATAAACAAGTGTTTTTTTTTTTTTTTGGCCATATTCAGTTGGTTCATATTCAGTATATTTTGAACTCATAATCCTTACATTGCTATTAGGATTATGAGTTAAATATATAATTTCATTTTTTTAAATCGATTAGAAATAGCCAACTATATCACGTATATAAACATTTGACAACTGCCATAATAAAAAACATATTGAGATCGCTCACTCTCCGTACGTCTAGTAGCCTTGCCGTGACAAGCGCAACTGAACTCACCTCGAGACACCCTGAGATTTATCTTAATGCGTCACTTTGTGACCATAATTTTGACTACTGTTCGTTCTTAGTATCGCTACTGTATATACTATGAATAAATGAGTCCAAAAACAAATCGCTTTAAATATTATATCAGTGAGATATAGGTTTTATTGTTAAAATTTTCTATATTAAAATAATAAAGAAGAAAGATTTGATTTTTTGTTTATATTTTTTTTATATATAGCCTCCGAAACTGCCGTACTGATTTTTTTCATATTGCTGATACGTACGGGATTAACATGGCCTATAATTTGCGACGAAGACGCGGGAAAACAGCTAGTTCATATATAAATCGATTAATCGCGCTTTTCCGCGTATTTGTGAACAGACGTCACGTCACATAGCCAGTTTCCATGAAGAATTACTCTTCAATCTATACTAATATTATAAAGCTTAAGAGTTTGTTTGTTTGTTTGAACGCGCTAATCTCAGGAACTACTGGTTCGAATTGAAAAATTATTTTTGTGTTGAATAGACCATTTATCGAGGAAGGCTTTAGGCTATATAACATCACGCTGCAACTATTAGGAGCGAAGAAATAATGGAAAACGCGGACGAAGTCGCTGGCGGCCACTAGTATTATATACTCTTATCTCCTGGGTACAAAAACTTATGTTAGCCTGCTTATGTTAGTTCATGGAGGGTTAGAAAGCTGTGTTGTGTATGTATTTTATTATTGTATCTTTTTTTGATTTGATGTTATAAAATATAAGTAATACTATTTTGATTTCAGTTTGACTCCGTTACAACGTCGTCAATTGGAAGGTTGTCTTTGTCGTGTACCTAAGCACTTTTATATACATGTCTGGGACATATTATTACGAACGCCCAAAGGAATAACTGTTCAAGTGAGTCCCATCTATTGTTTTTCTCGTTATGAAAATTTAGTCTTTAAAGTAAACGTTACTGGATCTGATTTATGACGGTAACTACATTTGAATTTGGTACATTCTAAAATATATTTGAAATTCGAATCCCATCTCAGACAACCAAGGATAAAGTGGATTTATTAAACATTTTTCATTAAAAATATTTTCCCGTATAGATAGCATTATAAATGCAAAATTGATCAAAAGTAATATATTTTCTCTTTAATAAATGCCAATATTTTGAATGTAACTACTACTAATAATAACTACCAAAAATGTATAATACATTGAAATAGAGCGATTTGAATCAAAATTATTTTAAAACGTACCTAGTTAAAACATATTCACTTTCATTGACTTAGGCCATAATTTACGCAGGTAAAGTCGCACAAAAACTGCAACGGCAGATAAAAATAGACTGAAATCGACCTTCTCCCCACTTTATGACGAAATGACTTAGGTTAAATGAAAAAAATACAAAAACTTATAGATTATAGGAAAATCCATTAAAAACTATATAACTTTTTAATGTAATATTTCATCTGAATCGTTTGCTATAGACCTTTTTTTTGCAATAAAAGTAATAGATAACTTCGGCTATTTCAAAAGTAATCATCCGCTAGGGCCACTGGATACCGGCGGATCCTACCCTGGTGAACATGTCCCGCTCGGACTTGTCGTTCGCGTTACTGGTGGAGGAGGCGCTGGTGCGCGTGGCGGCGGCGCGCAGGCAGCTGTGTGTGGAGCTGCTGTGCGTGGCCGCCGCCGTGCTGCGCCGCAACCCGGAGCTGACGCTGGCACAACCGCTAGACCTGGACAAGTTGCTCGACGACGCACACTACACGTACGCTAAGGTGTGTATGTATGTACACACAAACACGCGCACGCACACACACACATACACATCTGCACGCGTAGCATGACGAACTCGAGAATGTTTTGTCTACACTCAAATGTCACTTTTCTCGGGTGCGCCCATACGATATCTCACTCTCGACCCGAGAAAGCGACATTTGAGTGCATCGTCTTGTACCATCGTGGTACAACAATGATATGACAGAAGCGGCCAGCCAGCGCGGTGGTGGCAGTTATCAAACGCGAGCGATGTGGGCGGCTTCTTTTTTGAACATTTTGTTTCAACCAGGGCCGTCTTTAGCTATGGTGCGGGGGTGCAATGCACCTGGGCGTCGCGCGTTGGAAGGCTCCACACTGATGATCATCGGGAAATTCCCTGTAATTGGGGGGAGGGGGGAGCACTGCTTGCACCCGGGCGCCTGTTGTGATTAAGACGGGCCTGGACAAGTATTTAGTAGTAAAAATGACAATAACATTCAACATTATTGCATTCGTATACATTAAACTATATGATTTGATAGAGAGAAATATATTTATCTCGGCTCGATTTGGATCATTGTTATTCGTCAGTGCTATGATAATGCTATCATCTCGCTTATCTATTACTCATGAACAGATGACATTACACCGACCCATATATAAAAAGTGAACTAGTATGTGTATTTTATAGGTAATATTTTAACTTATTATCGGTACAAATTTCACAAGTGACAGGAACTCGTCAGTCGAACGTTGTTATTTTATAAAATTATAGGCTGCAGTTACTTTAAATTTTGCTAAAGTAAACAGATAGTTATTTATTTCTATATATATATGATAGTTATCATCACTAGCCTATCTCGAAATTTTAAAAATAAGTGTTAAATAATTTTATAACGCATATTTTTATTAAAGTTATATTTTTAACAAAGGGTGTTTAAGAGTACAGTACAAATACTTTAATAAGTATTCCTCTGAGGCGATACATCGACTTATCCCAAAAATCAGCCATCGACTCCGAGTACATTGGAGATATAATTAGCAACATGTTTATAAAAATCTTTTTCTTCTCTATCTCTAATTAGTTACTTAAAAAATATATAAAAACTTGACTTGTACAGTAACGAATGTAATGTTATGACTAAAATATCAGATACATTTAAACTTATTATATAATAGTATACTGTAGGATAATTGACTATCATTATTTGTATTTGACTTTACAGTAACGATGGAGTAAAATCCAAATTAAAATTAGTAATTTTGCGAAAAATTTTACTGGCAAAACACAATTGGCACCAACCACCAGTTTTTAGTTACCGTTTCCTATCCTATTAACGCATGCAGTGGCAGCTGGTAAATAAAACAACACCTAAAAATGACTCGCGTAGGATTTGCAACTAATATTTCATATATGTATGTTATATAAGTAATAAATAAATGAAATCAGTGCACAAATTGTAACACATGCGCACTGATTACAAAATTTCCCTGTATATTTTTCTTATTATTGCGAGCTGCAAAAGGAACGATATTATTACAACAGGACAGCGGTATGAGTGATCTGTCGCGTGAGGCGTTGAGTTCAGCGGCCCCGGGCGTGTGTTTGGGATATTTGGCGCGGGCCGTGGTCAACAGCGTGTTGCACGCAGCCGCCGCACCGGATCTCGTCACCTCCGCGCAACCGTCATGCCTGGTCTCGTAATCACCCGTCGATAATCACCGCCATTAGTGAGAACTCGGTCAAAGTTAACATGAGTGAGTTCGATATGTTTATTAAAGGCCATCTATTTATTACATCAGATGATTTAGAAGAAGGGAAGGGGTTTAACATTGTCTTATTTTTTTTTACACAAGGAGAAAAATAGATCACGCCCTGTATTGTACTTTGAAATCGGGCGCGCATCTATCTAAGTGATTAAAAGTAAAACCAGATATTTAAACAAAATTAAACACTTACATCTCTTAGAAACAAATTTTTTCCTTTAAATTCAAACATACTATTTATTATTGTTTTTTTTTTCAGATCTTGAGATTAGAATTTCCAACCATCATACCGTTATTTATAAACTACTGATAAATATCTTTTATTATAAGTATAAGCATAACTTTATTACAATACATAAATGAAGAATTTTATTAGCTATAGGCATATTATACAGAAGAAATCATTTTTGTGCCATGATATTGGATTATATTTGTATTATAGATATTTAAATATTTTTATATGTTTCTGTTTGCAGAATATTTATTTGTTGTTTTTCGAAATAAAACTTAATGATCATGAGTATGATTTCATTTAATTTTTATAAACCATTCACAATCTTCCACATATACTTGAAAAACCTGGCATCACACGATAACAGTTTGTTCACGCCATTTCACTCAAATTCACTACTTAAAAATAAATTACTTGGCAATATGGTCACTATAGTCCATTGTATATTTTATTGTTTGGTGACTGCTTAAGTATTTTCCGCAAAGCTGAAAAAAAAAACAAAGTATAAACAAACTTATTTTATATTAAAAAATAATCACTAATTTTAACACAGAAATAAAGGAATTACCTTCTTTGTCTTCATCAGAAAAGTCTTGTTTAGGGAATTCAATATCAAAAGTAACATACAGATTACCATGAAGGTTATTATTTTCAAAATTGGGCATGCCTTCACCCTTCTTACGGACACGGGCACCTGCCCATGTCACTTTATCACGAGAAACTGTTACTTTGTGCCCATCTAAGTGCACTAAATCAAGTGTAAAACCTGTTAGTGCATCCTGAAATAAAATGAGAAGAATGAGTAAGGGTTTGTTGGTCACAGATTATACAGTACAGTAGTACAGCACAGGTACATTTATTGAGTCAATTAAAACTTTAGTGCAATAAAGATAAAAAGTTTCTTATCATTATTTTTTTTAGTTCCTACTGATATTTATGGCATAATATTGTTAATTTTATTACTTTCATATGGATTTGACAAAATATTAGTTATTTACACACCTGCAATGATATGGTGACATTAGTGTATAAGTCATCACCTCTCCTTGTAAACTGTGGATGTCTTTCTGTTGTAAAGACTAGGACTAGATCCCCTGGCTCTCCATCTACATGGGGTTCACCTTCTCCTCTTAATCTTGACTTGTGACCATCTGGTGCACCAACTTCTACCTATAACAATAATTAAATAAGTAAAATAATGTCTTATTATACTGTATTCATTATATATTGTAGTCAAGATTGAACACATAAATAAAACAAATAATTACCTCTATCTCTAGTACCCTTTCTTCATTGACAAACTTCACATTTGGACATTCATCACAAACAGTCTGTTGCATCATTTGGAATCTTCCTGGTCCAAGATTTCTTGTCACCATTTCTTGCCTGCAATTACATTTTCTAGTCCCTGAAGTAGGCTTAATAACTGGCTTATTACGAGTTATCTGAAACATTAAGAAGTTGTCTATCATTAATTATTATTTTGAGCACTATTAAAATTGCTTGTCAGGACATTTACAACTTTTATTTGATTGAAAATCTATTCTACATAATATTGAACTTACAAATTCAAATTTAATATTGAAATAATTTAAATAATCCTAAACTATACATTTTTACTTACTTCTATAAAGTTACCATTATAAAGTTCTTCCAATGAAACTGTTAGTTCCATAACAACATCTGCACCTCTTGGTGTCTCATGCTGTTGTGGTTCACCACCAAAATGAAACCCAAAGTCACCAAAGAAACTTGCAAATGGATCATTGTTGTTCATCATGCCATCTTTTTTTAGGCAGTCTTCACCACAACGATCGTACAATTCTCGTTTCTCAGGATCAGAGAGGGCCTCGTAAGCAGCTCCAAGATCTTGAAATTTCTGTGATGCGTCTGGATCATCTTGGTTTTTGTCTGGATGTAGAGCCTTTGCTAATTTTCTGTAGGCTTTTTTGATTTCATTTGTGCTTGCTGATCGTGAAACACCTAGTATTTGATAAAAGTCGCGACCCGCTAATGTAAGAACCAGGGCAGAGGTTAAATAAATTAGACTAATAATTGCAGTATTGTAGAACATAATTGCCTCAATTTGTAGGAACTTAGACACTTCCGAAGTAATAAATTTAAAACCAAATCTCCAGTAGCACTCCTCGACACATTTCGACTTTTGACATCTAAAATTCAAAGCAAATTCGTCACATTTTCATTGGTTCACATTTTAGCTAAATAATAAAAAGTCATAAAATTTATACATATTTTTCATTGTATACCGTAAGCCCAATGTAATAAAGATTATATTTGTCTAAATTCGAATAACCAATAAGAAATGGCCTCGTACTGTCATTTGTTGCCACAAACAAAATAAAGTTTGGGCATAGAGAACTTTGAATAAAGAATATCTAGGACCATACGTTAAGTCATATGTATTGTTGTGTATGTTTATTATAAGATATTATATAATGTAACGCCACCTCACTTAAATGTATTGAGAGTTTCGTTTAACCAATCCATACCATAATACGACTTGTTTCTTTCTTTTTTTTTAGTTCAATTTTGACAGTCGTTTTTAATTTTTAAGTTATCGATATGTCGAATCGTAATCGATTTTTTTTCCTGTGCTTGGTCCGGTATGAACTGTCATCAATATGTCAAACAGATTTTGAAAAGTCATCTCATTCCGTTCTCAAGAAGCATTGTTGCTTGCTTTTGTGATTTAATTTTCTTTACCGGCAGAAAAGTTTACAGAAATGGCATCAGTATTAGCACCAGAAATATCTTCATCAGGATTTTCCTTCGAAAACTGTCAACGGTAAGTGATCAACGATTTGTATTGTTCGATTAGTTTATGAATATCAGCTTTTATAACATTTTATTTTTATTTTACAGCAATGCCTTCCTTGCCCAAAAAGGGTTTCCTGCACCCAAAGCGACAAAAACTGGCACTACTATTGTGGGCATAATTTATGCGGATGGCGTTATTCTCGGAGCTGACACCCGAGCCACCGAAAATACTGTGGTATCAGATAAAAATTGTCAAAAGATTCATTATCTAGCGGGTAATATGTATTGCTGTGGTGCGGGCACTGCTGCTGACACGGAGATGACCACACAGACTGTTGCATCGCAGCTAGAGCTACAACGTTTACACACTGGACGTACAGTACCAGTGGAGACAGCTGCCACACTCTTGAAACGCATGCTGTTTCGTTACCAAGGACACATAGGAGCCGCTTTAGTTTTGGGTGGTGTTGATAGAACTGGTCCTCATATTTACTGCATCTATCCTCATGGATCTGTTGATAAACTACCATATGCAACAATGGGTATGGTTGGTTTATTATTTATAAAAAGAAAATACAGTATTTATAGCTTCTTATTAGATTAAACAGAAAATATAAATTAGACTACAGTTGTTTGCTAAATCCTGATTGTTATTTCTCATATATTCAATGAGTAGTAAAGTCAGCAAATACATTTATTGTATTTATAAAGCCATTATAAATAAAATATTTAAAAAATTTTTTGCTCAATAACTTATATGTCTTATATGGGTGCATGAATTGGCCTTTTAATATATTTAATCTTTAACCAAATCTATATATTGACACCCATTTTTAGGTTCTGGATCATTGGCTGCTATGGCTGTATTTGAATCAGGATGGAAGCCCAAAATGACTGAGGAAGAAGGAAAAAAACTAGTTCGTGATGCCATAGCTGCTGGTATTTTCAATGATCTGGGGTCTGGATCTAATGTAGATATATGTGTTATTCGTAACTCTGGTCCTGCACAATATCTTAGAACTTATGAAGAAGCTAATGTTAAGGTATGACAATTCTGTATATTGTAATTGACTAAAGAATGTAACTGATGTTTTAAACTTACTATTGACTGATAATGCAACAATTGTAATTATTAATGGTGGATTTCTTTCTATTAATTATTTGATAATAAGTAATAGAAATAAAAAAAAAGTTATATCATCATCATTTCAGCCGAGAGATGCCCACTGCTACTATACTGTAACCTACTCCAGGTATAATTGTCACAGTTGAAAACTTTTCTGTGTTATGTATAAAGTGAATAAATTTATAGACTAAGATTAAATATAAATACTTTTTTCATATTATGTGAACTGACTATAAACTTAAAAAAAGGGAAAAATAATACTTATCTGAAATGCGACTTATTCAAGAAAATGCTATAATAATGAAAAATTGCTTAAAAAATGCATTTGCTCCTTGGCACCCTGAGATGGGATTCGAACCCATGGTCTTTCCTGAGATGGGATTCGAACCCATGGCATACTTAGTTTTTAAATATATCATGAAAATGAACTCAATTTTTACAAATCATGTATTTGGCAGACATATTTTGAATTATATTTGAAGGGTAATATTCGTCCCATTACAGTTTACAATAAGAATAAATGTTTTCATAATTAGATATTACTAATAATGTGATTTCTTTATTTTACAGGGCAAAAAGCAAGGTTCTTACAGATATGCTCCTGGCACTACAGCTGTACTGAAGCAACGTGTTATACCCCTTGAAGTGGAGTCTGTTGCAGTACACCCAGTACAGCCTATGGAAGTAGAACCTGCATCAAGCCGGCGCTAAATATTTGTAATAATTATACAACATGATTTTTTTTTACTTAAATTGTTTTATTTATAAAAATAATAAATAATAGAATTAAGGACGGAATTATAATATGTAGCTTATAGTTAATGACAATAAGTCTTATCTATTGTCTTGTTACTGTTTTTTTGTAAATTAGCTTATATAAACATAAATGTAAAATAGTGCTATGCCAACTTTACGAGTTTTGAAGTATGCATGAGTAAGCAGATTTACTGTACAGCAATTTTAGCATAAGAACTGAATAAAAAAAACATGCAATAAACTGAAATAGCCATTAAGTTGGCATGGCATTCTATTTTCTTATGAAATACTTACAGTTTAGCTTCTTTTAAGCGTTTTTTTTTTTATGAAGATATGGTAAAAATGAGTTTCCTAATATATTAATATCATCAACAATCTTTTAAAATTATTTATCAATCAGTACATGAAAACAGCTTACAGTCTATTGTATAGAAATTTATAAAAACAAGAATGAGAGAAATGACAAGAACATTGAAATGGCAGTTTGAGTTAGTGCTAGATACAATTCAGCCTTTTTTATGAAGGATGAAGTCCCAGGTATCCTTCCACCTGAGATTCATGAGGTCATTTTCAGTCAAATCAGTGGTACCATAGTTAAGAACACTGAATTTCTTAAATGTAAGGAAGACATATGCCATCCAAATACATATGCTCAAGATAAATAAGTTCGTAAGAGGGCGTGATTTCCTATTTAATTGTAAAACATAATAAATATGATCTACAACAAAAGCCAATAGAAGAATTTTAAATATATAAGCTGGTAAGTAATGGTGTAGAAAAAGTGTGCGTTCCATAAAAAAATAAGGCAGGTAATGTAACCAGTAGCCTAAAAAAAGAATATATGCTGCATCGTAGAATTTCTGTGCGACTCTTGGAGGTAGATCAAAGCAATCACGCCTTTGACGTATTGCATAAACAACCAGTAGACTTCCATACAAGAATACTGTGATCGTGCCTGTGTACCATGTTACTAGATTTCCAATCAAATGAATTTGGGCCTGAAACAAAATAAATATTAATTTTAGCAATATTTGTACTGCAATGCAATGTTACGATTTAGAAATTGTCTATTTTACTTACATTTGAATTAGGCGAGAGCCAGTATGCTATAGAACGAACTAGCAGCGGCCATTCTGCTGGCTCGCTTGCAAACATGTGCCCGTGAGGTGCGTCTGGTGCGTGTGTTATCATTTTATATTGTAACTCTGCAAACTTTTCCCAGAACGTTAACTGTGTTACCGCCGTTGGTATCATTTCTGCTGAGACTATTTCTCGTTCCCTTTCTTTTCTGTCTTCAGCTAAAATCAAAAGTACATACATATAATAACATTTACTTTCTTCGACTTTACATTGTGTCCGTAAAGTTTAATTGACTAGATGGACAGTTATTTGAAGCTAGGGATGATGCCAGAGTAATAAAAAGAGATTCCATTTAGTCCGTCCATCAAATATTAGAATTGTTTTTTGCTTCAATTTAACAAGAAATGGCTAAGATAATTGGTATTAAAGTTGAAGAGTGGGGGATTGCTATGTCTTTACTATGTTGAAAATGTACAAAGGGGTACTGTAATTTATTGATTAAGAAAATAATCCGTTTTTAGTTTAATATCCTTCAATAAATCTACCTGCCTGACAATCAAACAAAAATTATTCATCATCTCTATTGTAGCTACGGTCTATATCTTTACACTAGAAGAGAACTAAGTGCTAAAAGGCACATTCGTGAAACCGTAATCCTAAACTCGGTCAATAGCTTATATCCAAAATCAAGAAAGCGGAATAAAGCATATCACTGATTCAAATTTGACTAACCTTTAGTATAACGATGTTCTTCTACATTCCAAATGGTGTCCTGGTGTGTTAGTACCTTATCAGCAACTATTTCGTGTTGATGAAAGCCCCAAGATGGAAGTTGACGCCCACTATACCTCAACGCAGAGCCTGAGTCTATGTGCACGAGCCGGACCATGGATCGAATACTATCCCATGTAGCGTCTTCACTGTCTCTATTCACTATATCCACACGCCAGAGGTTCTGAGCTGGCATCGACACGTTATAATCGATGTAGCAAGATACTTCCTGTAACAAGATTAATATAAAAGAAATATATTAACATTAAATTATGGCCTATTAATGCTAGGATAACAATGAGATATTGAATTGATTACATATAGTATATTTATACTTTTGAAATGCAAAAAAAAATCAACAACACTAAAATCATTTCCTAAAATTAATGAGATCCAGACAATATACAAAAATTACTATTTGTACTAGATTTAATGTTGGAGTCAAATATCACAATAATTTACCAAAATATTTAACATTAAAATCTTGATTAGAGATAGGGAGAGATAAACATATTCTGGATTGTGACCTCAAATGCTACTCTGTGGCGTAAGCGTCGCACAGAAGAGACAAGGAGAGAAAGATAAACTTTTTATTACTTAAATTACGCTAATTATTTAAATTACAGAATAAAATTTGAAAAACTCCAAGATATTTATTATCCTTGTTTTAATTATTTATTTAGTAACAGCCTATTTATTCTGAACATTCAAAATTTGAATATACAAACTTCAATTACGACTGGCAATTCGGTGTACTTTTCTCATATAAGCCTTCTCCAGCACTTTCCAGTGTTCTTGGTCCATAGCTACCCTAGTGTAATATTGCATATAAAGATGCTTAAACATTAAAAAGTACCTAAGATTAAAAACCACAAAAAAATCTCATAAAACCATGAAATAAATTACATGTCAAAATTTACCTGTGATTGTGGCGAAACTGGAGCTGCAACGTCGTGAGAATTTAATGCCCGACTAGTGATTCCGTGCAGCAATTGCACAACATCTCCATGCCGGATGGCATCGGGTGGATAGGCGACGGCCAGCGAGACTTGATCGGGCCGCTTGACTATCCACCAGTTGTTAACGTCCTTGAAGCTGTAGCAGGTCACCTGCTGCTGATGCGAGGAGCCGCGCCCGTCTGCGTAGCGTACCGGATACACATGCGCATGGGAATGCAGCCAGCATGTCCTCCCGTGAGTGTGCCTAGATTTTTTTTTATATTATTTCAATCCAAAAGGCAAGGTTAAAAAGATATATTTAGAGTAACAAAACAAATGAACACCACTAAAGCCAAGGCATAATTCTAAGATAAGTTTGGTAGAATAGTTGAACAGAAATAATAAAAATCAATTACCTCAATGTTATTTGAGATCCATGTGCTACATGTAAAGGTTGGCCCTTTGTGATGCTAGCAAGGCCTCCCTGAAGAGATGCTTGGAATGCACTTGTCATAACACTATCATGTGGCCCAGCTTTTGGTAGCATGATTAAATGAGCATAAAAAACACCAACATATATGGTGAACGGTAAAATAATTAATATTAACAATTTCCAAACACTTGTCAGAAAAAGATATAAACCAGATTTGGGAAAGCTCATTTGTTGCCAAATTTGTCGACCAACTAAAAAAATGGCCAAATAATAAGTGTAGAGCCCTGAAAATTTCACTCTGTAACAAAATAAAATATTGGGTCTAAAGTTGTACAGAATTGTTAATAAGTGTGTTTGTACTCTTTCATTAATATAGAAATATTGCACATGAATATGTTTTTATCTGATTCATATATGTTGCAGAAAGTATTAAATTAATTTTTAGATTATCTCTGCTCCCCCGTAATAAATATAAAATCATTATTTTGTTAAAGATTAACCCTGATATTATCTACCACATATTTACCATATTTGTGTTGAAATATATTCATGTTAATATTTTTTGATTACTTACGAAAAGCAACATCCAAGAGATAAAGCTCCAAAACAAAGCCAAATCACACTAGCAGCACCAGACTTATGGATACTTTTTAACACACACAAAATGCCACACAATCCAAACAAAATCTGGATACTTTCCAGGAGCATAAACCTGGACTGGGCTAGGAAACAGTTTTCTAAAAATAAGCAAACACACATTGATATTAAAAACCCCTTTTGTTATTAACACTTAACAATGACATTATGATTTTCTTAATGAAAAAGCTTAAAAATCATCAGACCCAGGTACTCTGAGATGGTAAAATTTTTTTTTTTAATATTTCATTCAACTGTTTGTGTGGATTGCCTGAATTAACAAAAATATTCTGAATATTACTAGTCAGAATATTTACAATATTCTCGTCAATTTAGGCGAAAAGTAACAAGTGCATGAAAAATTTGTCAGTCCTGTTATATCCTCAATAGTTTAGTGGTTAGAGCAGTCAACCAGATTGTGAAAGGTCTTTGGCTCGAGTCCCACTTCAAAGTGCCAGAGGCTTGGGTACTGAGAAGCTGGTGGATTTTTTAAAATTTTTCATTATAAATATTTCCAGTATAGCATTGTGAATCCAAAATTGATCAAAATGTAATAATTATAATTTCATACCAAATAGAACAAGAATTGCTGCTAATATAGCAGTCCACTGGTAACATGACATTTCTAACATTAACTGATATGTCACAGGTACAAGTAGGCTGCCTGCCACTGCTGGTATCAATCGTAAGGCTTTAATTGGCACATTTTCAGTGTATGGTGTCCCAATTCTATCAAAAGTGAAGTTTCCATCATATCCTGCATAGCGGCCCGCTAAGTATAGTAATTGTTTGCCCAAAGGTGGATGAGCATCAAAGAAGAAAACCCCTTTAGTATACAATGACACATAACGACCATAGTGTAACTCATCAAACCTGAAAAAGAACAGATTTTTTAATTAAATAATAGAGACAGGCATATATGGTAAAAGTAGACTATTTACTTACACAATATAATTAGGTTCATTTAAGTTATATAACCTTGTAGCTAATGCAATTATTAGAAGACCTGTACATATTATATCAATCTCCAGATGAACATATACACTGGTTGGTTGTTTGAAGTCTTCTTCTATAGCGTGTTTGTATCCGATATCATTCTGCATGGAGTCTTCATTGTCCTTAAATATAAATAGGATACAAAAAATGCACCTTTCTTGGTTATTCATTTATTTACTAAATTAGGGACATGATTACTCCATCGGCGCATTATGCAAAGAGAAACATCACAAGATTTTTTTTTAAACTATAATAAGTAGTAATTGTTAATGTGGTATTTAAAACATTTTAAAAGACTTAGCCATGGTATTTTGACTATGTACAAACTATTTTGGTTTCTATATACTCATAAAATAATATTTTAAATTCTTTTTAATGAATTATCATAACTTATACATACATCATATCATTATTTGAAATAAAATTTAATAATCAACAAATAGGCATATTAAACTAATAATTAGCCAACATAAAAGTCAAGGATAGGTGCAAATTTATTGTAGAAAACATTTTATCAAATAAGAAGTTCATAATTCATGCAAAATATACGAAAAGTGGAACTTTAACGGGGCTTAAATTCCTAACCTTTTCAGAATTCTTAGCAGTTCTTCCATTATTTAGGTGGTGTGTGTCCTTAGAAACGGAATCCATTATTCAATTATTTGTTTAAATACATCATAACACTGTTTTTATAAGACCATTTAAATTTTATAGATAATACAAAAAAAAACGTAATATCTCAGCGACTAATTAAAATTGATGTCGTTGATTGACATTTATTGTTAACGTCAAAGTTGACGTGCGTGACATTTAGCGTAGTTGGGAACTGTTGGGCATGGACGCATTGCTAATATAGCAGGACCTGTAATTTTGAAAAATTGTCATTATGAAAATTAACTTTAGCCTATCGATTAAAGTGTACTTTTTAATGATCCTTCTACAAGAGCTAATAAAGCCAAGCAAAAAAGAGATACAATGACATTATATAATTATATTAATTCCATTAATATCAAATAATTACAAAAATAGAGTATTAATTATTTCAAGGCTTCTTGTATACTAATTTTCTACTGGTATTCTTTTTAATGGCGGTGACATAATAGACATAATTTGAGCATATTATTTGGAATTTTTAAATGGTAAGTTTCTTATATATTTTAACAGTTGCGTTTAAGTTTGTCCTAAGTTATGTTTGTATTAAGGCATTAACCTATCAAGAATTATTGATAAGTGATTTTAGTATTTTAACAATTATATTACAATAAAAAAAGGATGGACAGATCATACCAGTACTTATATGATGTCAAAAATTGTCCCCGGCATACACACGCACATATGGCACGATACTCTCCAAAGAGGAAGTATTAAAAAAAAGTCATTAGTTCCCGAAATCAAACTAGATGTTGCTATGGTACTTTTTTGATTTCTCTAAGACAACCCTTCCTGTTTTCTTTCATGTATAAAAGTAAATTAAATTTTAAAACTGTTCCTACTACCTGTAATGTTGGACCCTGCACGCGCAGCATAACCTACTCGAGGGACTTTTCTTTAAACCCAAATGTCAGCTTTCTTTAGTGCGCCCATACAATATCTCACTCTTGATCTGAGAAACGTGACGTTTGGTTTTAAAGCATTCCTCGATCTTGTCATTCTTTGTGCTGCTTTTAAAGGAAGTCACCCAGAAGGCATGCTGTCATGTCACAATGAGAAAAAATCTTATTGCCACTTCAAATAAATTGTATTAGATTAGATTAAATTGGGTAAAATACATTATTTTAAAATTAAATACAAATTATAATAATAAATACTAGTTACTACAAATTTTAAAGCAAAAAAATCACAAAATAATATCACACGTGTTACTAATGTATATAACATGTGAAAATGTCACTGGATGTTAAAATTTGGACAACTGATATACATTTACTCTTAGGATTTCATTCGAAGTTAGGTTTCGATATGTTGGTTTTTTCAATAGCGATATATGAATAAGAATATCGCTCTTTCTTCGATATTGATATTTATAAGTATAGATATAGGTATATCGTAGACAGAGAAAGCAATAGACTAATGGTATGTTCTATCTCATTCATCGGGAAATGAAATGACTTATTACAATTTTCATTAGTTAAAGTGAGATAAAAACATTATTTGTTATCGATGTGGCCGGTTTTTTTTTTTGGCACCAGGCTTGTTTGGCACCAAAACATCAAAATTTTAGGCATAGAAATTGTTGGACTCAAATAATATAGAAAAAAGTTGGAAAGAAGTGTGTTTAAACAATATTTTATATGATGTATAGAGTTTATAATTAAGAAACGTTACTTGCAAATTAAAATAATGGTTAAGTGCAGTGTTATATCTTGCAAAAATAGATCCGAAAGGAATATTGTACGTGTATCATATTTCAGGTAAGTTAGAAGCATTTTGTTTATATCTTCGTCAAGGTAAAATTTCTCAATGCCATAACCGATGTGAATTTTATTAAATACGACACATAACAAGCTAAAAATATTATTAAATAAGTTGAATAAGAATATAACTTCAAATCATAAAGGCTGACATCTAAGTGCTTAAAATCTCCCCTCAAAGTGCTTTAAAATTAAATTATCAATATTCTGTTAAATAAATATCAAAATGTTTGAAACTCAACTATTTTGTAAGTACATAGAACTACAAAATATATAAAATGCATTATCTTCATATCTTTTCAATTATTTTGTTGGTTTCATACAATATTAATTAACCGTGTAAAACCTTTTTAGTTTGAGAATCTAAACTGGACATTTTGAAAAATAAAATATACATAATTTATACTAGATACTGATAGTTTAAGTTTTAAACTTTTGACGTGGATACGTCTATGTTTTCGTTCTACAGGGGGGTCATTCTGTGAGCAGGAGTATATGCACTAACGCCATCTATTGGCGTATAAGTGAACTATGCTTGCTCTGCAGGGGGAGGGGCATTCTGTCAGCAGGAGTATATGCACTAACGCCATCTGTTGGCGCTAGTGAATACTTTTTTCATTCAACAAATGAACGCAACGAATATTTATTTATTTAGTGTTTAGTGTCTTCAATTTGTTTATTTTTTTTTTTTTTTAATTATTCATTTATAAATGCAATTATGCCACAACGTTGCATAGTTCCGGGTTGTTTTGGAGAAGCGAATCGTTCAGTTTTTAGAGTGCCAAAGAACATTGATAGACGTGAAGAGTGGTTAAAAGCTATTCGTGATGTGTTTCCTAACCTGGATGTTGGTGAAAATTTTTATGTTTGTGAAAAACATGTTAAAGAAGCAGATTTTAAGGCATATGTAATTGACAAATCTGGAAAAATTATTCAAAAGGTATCATTATAATATACAATACAATAAATAAAAAAAATTAGCTTTATGCCATACGTATGCATATGTACACATCCATCTACGAACACGTAAATATAGCTTGATATGCGTTAGCAATAAAATGTAAAATATTTTTGAGTGAATTTGCTAATCTTTAAATAAAAATAAATAAATTCGTGCAAATTCAAGTAAAGGATATCGTCGAAAATGGCCCCAATATGAACAAGCATGAATATTTTTTATCAATTACTCATATATCCATTCATACATAGACGTATCCACGCATAAAATATGGCTGTATCAATGCCATATTTTTTTTTAATGTTATTATTAAAGAAGAATTGCCTTCATTAAAAATTAATCCTATATCTCTATACTTGCTAGGAAATGTTAAATATTACTACGTCAGTTTAAATATTTGATTTGTTCTTGGAATTATAGTTTTTTTGCACTTGTTAAGTAATGTTTATTTACCATGCCATAATTATTCTTCATAAATATCATAACTTATTTGTGCCATAATCTAATCTTCAAGTTTTATCTGTGCTATTCTTTTAGAAACACACTGATTATGATTTGTTTGTATCTTTATAATAAAGAAATGCTAGAAAATATATTGTGAAATAATATGGGCTATGTTTCTTTTTTTTAAGAATTCTTGTCTTTGATTTAAGAGTATTGTTAGCTAACCAAAATATGTCTTTTTTTATTTTGTATTAAAATATAATAGTTACGTATCATATCATATATAATATTATAAAAATTAAAGGTTTTATTGTTTATTTTTTACATCGAATAGGCTCCGAAACTACTGGACCGATTATTATATTTGATTAATCTCAAACTACCAGGGACAAAGTGGTTTTTTAAGCATTTTTATTAAGATTACTGAACCGATTTTAAAAACTCTTTCACATACGGGTAGTACACCATACGCAGTTGACATAGGCTACAGTTTACACAAACGAAGTCGCGTGAAAATAGATATTCTAGTTTGAGATAAGAAATCTTCTGGGACTGGTATTAGAATTCGAGCGAAGTATCTTGGTGGACTAACGACAACCGTCAAGTCTCTTTATGAAATCGACCAGCAGGGCTATTGGCTAACTTTGACATCAAAGTGTGCAACTGACAATTCGTTGTACACTGCGATTTGATCGCAACCAGTTTCTCACTAACATTGGTATTGCGTATCATAGTAGTTGGACATCAACTAACGGTGCTTTACGGTGCCTTATAAGTGTCATTCGACAAACCTCTTGACTCCTCTATTTTTTATCGACGTTATGCGCCGAAATTTAGTTGCGTGTCCAAAGCACATCCATTAATATGAATTGGAGTTATTATTATTTAGACGGGTTATTTACCTGTTTGACTCTTGAAAACAAAAATGTTTGAAATATTTGGCGCTAAATTCATATCAACTTAGACTTTCGTCAAGTTAAAAGGTGTTAAGTTAGTGTTGTTGAAAGATTTAATAGTCAAGGAATAAATGTAAGTAAAGCTTTTATATATTTTCTAGTATTGTTACTGTTTTTTCGTGTTAATATTATTGTTTGCATGCATTTAAAATAGATTACGATTTACGAATATTCCATTGGAGAAAATTTGTCGCTTTCATTATTTTATATAGATACGAAATAATATTACCTCTAGTTTAGTGTTTAATATTAGTAACTGTTTATTATGTTGTAATATATTTCTTGAATGATCATTTCTTTATTTGGTACCTAACATTTCAGATGCCGGCAAAGAGAAAACTGTCTCAAAGACAGCTAGAAATCCTCCTAGAATTTGCGGAATCTCATCAGGAAATTGCATTAGGCCGCTTCTGTGGTGGTCCGCTCTCGAACCAAGCTACAAAGCAAGCTTGGGAAGCAATAGCGCTCCAACTCAATGCAGTGGCTGATGGGATTACTAAAACACCTGACCAATGGCGGAGAGTAAGTTCATAATTAATATTTCTTAATATTGTATAGCAGATTCCTTCAATGATTTTCTGTTTCAAGTCTAAAAAAGGGATATTTTATCGCCCTGCATAGTTTCATCCACTTGAGAGGGTGAAGCCACTCAAAAAGATTTGTTTAAATATACTCTAAAATCAACCTTATGTTTAAATAATTTTAAAGGTGCATTCTCAGTATTGATCTTTCTAATACTTTTAACTTCAAGTTTTGTTTAGCTAAATTATTACTTACTAACACTAGTTGATAAGTTTTTTTATTGTACCTTATACTAACCAAATATGATCTACTTATAAAAATGTTTTTCGATATAAATATTATTCTTAAACTAACTTTTTATTGTTTTTTTCAGTATTGGATAGAATTTAAAGCCAAGGTTAAGGCCAAGGCCGCAGATGTTAGGAGGAGTGCATCGGCTACAGGTGGAGGGCGAAGCAAACTTATTCCTCTGAGTGACTTCGATCAAAGGGTGCTAGCCCTCTTAGGACCTGTAGCAGTGGAAGGACTGCCTGGCGTTCGTATTCCCGTTGAAGTTAGTAACTTTTTTAGATTTTCTAAGTGGTGTGCTAATTCTAAGTCTTCAAAAAACTAACATGTGTAAAAAACATTTGTTTTTATTTTAGTTGCCAAGTACATCAACTACCCCACAACCATCTCCTGATGTCTTATCACCAGCAATGGAAGTGGAATGGTTAGATGAAGCAATGGGTGGGACAGCTAGCGAGGAAGTGGAGCAAGAATTGGTTCAATGTGGTGAGCCTCCAGTTGATTCTGAACCTCACTACTCTGAACCGATTCCGGAGCAGACTAGCAGAGTAATAGCTGAAGAAAGTAAGTACCTACCTCCTTTTCCTTTGTCTTACTACTAATATCATAAATAATATTATAAATGTTAAAGTAATTTCATGAAGTTACAGAGAAGATAATAATAGAATTCATTTATTTTGACAACATGCATCATATAAATAATTTACATTATACAATGTATTTTGATATAAATTTTTACATAATATTAATATAACATTATTTAATTATATATAATAATTCCTTTAGATATTTTCTTTGTTTTGCTATGATTGACTTGTTTATTTAAATAATTTAAATTTTCAGGTACCGCTCCAGCTCCAGCTGTTCAAGTTCCACACAATATAAGAAGACCCAGGGCACAAAGGCAAAGTATGTTATAGTTTAATTATATTTATTTAATGAAAATTTTGTAAAATATGTCATTTATACAAGTAGGAATCCAATGAAATGAAATGTCTCAGTAGATTTCATAAAACATTATTCTTATGCATTACAGTTCGTCGACATGAAGGCGTTCCTCGATGGGCTTACGAGTTGGAAGAAAGGCGCATTGCCATCGAGGAGAGCCGTATTGTCATTGAGGAGCGACTAGCTAGAGTAGAGGAGCGTCGTGCTGCTTCTATGGAGACAATAGTTAACCTTTTAACAGTTTTAATAGAATTAATTAGAGAAAGAAATTTCAATATTTAAACCTTCTCTAATTAATTCTGTTACTTCTTTATTTAGTTCATAGAATCAAATGTAAATTGTAATATTTAATTTTATACTATACAGTTAGTTGTTATAAGCCTTCTCTAATTAATTTTATTAAATCTGTATTTTCATAATTTAGTTCATAGGATTAGGTGAACATTGTATTTGTTAATTTTATTATAAACTTTTAATTGTAATTGTTACTTAAAGAATGGTGGCTGTGGAAGAAAATAATAAAAATACAGATACAAGATAATAACATTAATAACTTAGGTAAACAAACTTAGATGGTAAAAATAAAAGTCTTTATAGGTTTGTACATGGTTTTATTATTGTTTTGTTTCTATTTTATTTTATTTCGCTAAGAATTCGTTATTGTTAGTTATTTTTAAGATTTTATTAAATCTATGAGCAAATTATGTTGATTTAAAAATATTATTTTTGCCCTAACTAGAATAATTTACCACCAGTTCCAAGTTGGAACCTGTCTGAGAAGAACTGGCGAAACAAACTCAGACAGGCTCTTGAGCCATGATATGAAGATATGTATCTCTATTTTAATAAATTATTATAAAAATGGGTTTACCACAATATACTACTAATACCAAAAATTTCTGAGTTTAATTATAAACCTGATTTCATATCAATTATTCAAAATAGGCATTCTCTCGAAGAAAAAACATGCAGTTGTGTCTAAAATTCCTTTAAACTATTAATAATAGTTTTACAAATACCTAGGCCATAATCTGATAATTTTTTTAAGAGTAAACTCAAATTGGCCTCCGCCTTTCTTTAAATTGTTATAATCAACAGCATGCAGGACTATAAATTTACTATCAATCATGTTCTTGCCTGCCATAATCTGGTAACGAGAACATCTCTAGAGGTATCGGTTAGTGTGTCAACTCTAGCTGCCACACTACTGATTTGGTTCTCTTGGTCACGGTTAATATTCTCATCTAGCAAATCAGGCATCGGAACACTTTGTGCAATCGCAATATTGTGTAGAACAACACATGCATTAACTATTTTTCCAGCAGTAACTGGATCATAATGAAGTACCCTGTGAGCTAAAAGACACCTCCAACGTGCTTTTAGTACACCAATGCAACGCTCCACTGTGTTTCTGACACGGCAGTGTAGATTTGTGTAGTATTCTTCAGGAGACCCCGAAGCTGCACCTAAGATAGGTGTCATCATCCAAGGACGTTGAGCATAACCCGAATCTCCTGCAAAACAATATTTGTTACAATAATAATATAATATATAGATATTCTTTTTCCTACTTCAGCTTTTTTTGTAAATATCAATTGTTTAGTCAAGATATTTTCATTAGAATACATACCAAGTAACCAACAATGTTCTCTATTGTTTGTTAGCTCTTCCACATATGTTTTAATTGGGCATTGATTCCATACATAGGAATCATGAGAAGCACCACCAAAGGAAGCATCGACATGCAATATGTTCAATTTAGCATCACATATCTGAAATATATATCAAACTTTTTATTTCACAACATCATCATCACTAGCATACTTAAACAAATTAGATACATTATATTACTTACTATTAAAACATTTAGTGAATGGTAATTTTTTCTATTAAAATATGTTTCTTCATGTTCTATGGGTCGGATTATAGCTACATGAGTGCCATCAATACATCCAATTATACCCGGAAATCCAAATTTTTCCATATAGCTAAAAAAAGTTAATTTTAAATTGTATGTTCAATAATAAAATATTATAATCATTTTAATCAATATACCTACTCTCTCATAATTATTTCTCTCTCATTCTGGGAAGAGGGAAATTTTATATATTTCAATAATATTTCCCGAACATTCAGTGCATCAGTAACTTCATGTAAGCACTTGCTGAAGGTTGGTTGAGACATATTGCACAAGAATGAGGCACCAACATTCCGCTGATATGATCCATTAGCATAAAAGTTTAATGCTGCAAGGATCTGCAAAGAAATAGAGAACCTAGATCCAAAGATAACATTTTAAACATATCTTTCAAAATAATAGGCATATTCCAACCTTGATATCATTGCGCACAGCTGTTCTTCGTCGGGATACTGGTAAATGTGGTGTGATATCCATTAGAAGCCGCTGATATCCATCTTTGTTAAGACGGAAATGAGCAATAAACTCATTTTCAGGCAACTGCAAAGGGTCACTCATATCGCGACATCGACGCCTCTCTATTCTTAACAGATTTCTCTTTCTTTCTTCCTCAGCAAATTCCATTAAATAAGGCCTCGCCATAATCAATAGATTGGTATTTTGTCGGATTGCATACAAAGAAACTCCGTAAATCAAACAATATTATCTTGAAAAGTCCAGTGAATACAAAATTATAACTGTTTTCAACATTAGCTTTATTTAACGCAATCAAAACCAAAGAAACTTCTTTCGAGAGCAATAGTATTTTGCACAATAAAACCGAAATAAGAATTGTTTATTTAACATAACGCAATACAAACAAAGAAACTTGTTGAATAAACACAGATATTATCTCGCGAATTTCAGTAAAACCTAAATTAAAACGATTTCTATCTCAGCTCTGTCTATTCAACGCAGTCGGGTAATAGTGCTCAACAGTAGAAATTGATAAAACACTGCTCCATAGCCGTTCCTTTCACGGCTTTGTTGAGAACTTAAATGATTAGCACTTTGTAGTATATTTGATAGCCACTTTGCTTACACAATACCAATTTAAGACTATCGATACGGCAACGCTTGTCAAAATAATTTACGGTGTACAACGGTCCCGTGACGTCATCTTTGATGGACACTCAAGTTAGCCAATAACAAATTCGAAGTTTGACAGATATTTGATGTCAACTTTGTCAGTGGCTATCAAAATTAGTTGTCCAACAAAGTTACGCAATAGCCCTGCAGGATAATGGATACGACGGCAGTGGTGTACAAACGCCCATACCTCGAAAACACTAATACGTGCTCTGCTAATACTGTTTGAAGTAATGAAATCCAGAATCTGAGTAATTACTGATCAAAGTCAAAATAGGCTTACATATTTGTTTTCGATCAATAATTATTAAGATTTCTTAAGATTCATATTTAGTGACGAAATACTATTTATTAGTATTTCGTCACTAAATATGAGACTATTAGTCAGATTCGATTGGATTAGTCAGAATGATAAAATACTTTGTGGTTACTAAGATCTACGAAATATCAACATGTGTCAATAGTTTCAACGTTTTATTTCATTCTAAAATGACCTAAGGTTTTAAAAAATGGTCTTTCTAACAGCTATTGAGTAAACATACAGTGGCGCTGCTGGACTGACGTTAGCCCGACATCATCACAATGTTTCTTATTTGCCTTTCTAAACATAATTTTATCATTGAATAGGTACGTTATTCTCCTATAAACGGTTTTCTTTATTGTCTATATACATTTTTTTTTAAATTTTGGTTGAATTAAATTTTCAAAATAGTTTTGTTTGTCTAAATTAGACTTTTTTGTGCATATTCTAATTTAGTCAAACTTAATTTTATTTAGAAAACTTCAGTAACGAAGCCCATTGATTCAATGTGCTAGTTAATTTAAGATGATAGATAGTGTATCAATATTTCTACAATAAAAAAATTTCCTCTATTACTAATTCTTTCATCCATGGAAAGTTACATCATACGTGGTTGACTACAGCTATAATTTGGTGAAATCGCAGAAAAGTAGATAGTTTCTGAACATTTCTACAAATTATGTTGACCAAATTATTCCTCCTTTGCTAATAACAAAATATCTCCCCATAATCGAGGAACATTTAACTACCTAGTAACACTGATGATATATTTGTTGTCCCTTACTGTGGCACGCCTAATAGCCCTCTATAAGGAGGTATATATTGGTTTCCGATATATCGTTGTTCCCTAATTAGGGATGGGCAAATGGGAAAAAAATATCGATATATATCGTATCGATATTTCTCAAATATATCTATAAATATTGTCAAAGATATATCGATATTTTTGCGCAATAAGTGATTATCTATAAAAATTGACAAAATATTCGATATTTTAGAGCAAATAAACACCTGGCTGTTTTCTTATTTAAAAAAGGGTCATTAAGCCAAGAAAACAACATCATCAATACAACAAAAATTACATTATTCAAACAAATCAGTATTTATCTGACATTAACATCAGGAGCACTCTCAGTGATACCAACCAAACCAACGAGCAGTATAATTGTCATAAAGAAACAAAAAAGGCTAGCAGGATATAGACTGTAATTTCTAAACTTATACAGTCTACTGCCTACTTCTTTTTTTAAATTTAAGAAATACATGATGCGACGTATGAGCAGAGAGCAGAACTTTAAAAAATATATAGATTATGATATCTGAAAATAAATATCGAAAGAATATCGCGGGAAAAAATATTGCTGATTTATATCGATATTTTTAAGAAAAAATAATCTTTTACTCTTTGACTTATTCTATAATTTATGAGTTTTGACTTATTCTATAATTTGTGGCCATACATTTATATTTTGATGTTCATTCCATAGGTTTGTTTTGGTTTGTTTATTCACAAAGATTTAAAACTTTTAATACGATGGCAGATTCAAACACCCCTATATCATGTCCCGTATGCTGTCGAGAATTCAAGAGAGACATTATCGAGGAACATGTGAATAAATGTATATTTCTTAACACTCCAGAAGATAGTGTCTCAAAAAGAGTCAATACTTCAAGCGTTACTACATCTCCTAAACGTAGAAAATTGAATTCTACTTCAAACGGTCCAATAAAACGAGAAAGTGTAAGTGTAAAATATTTGAAAGAATTGGTTTCTATTACTTTTCTACCCGTAAGTTGATTTATATATTTTTTGTTTGTGGATTTTGAGTAGTTTTTATATATTTGTTTGCATATATTGCTGATGCTACAACTTCTTTTTTAATTTTCTTTTATTTTTCAGTTTATTATTATTTATCAAAATAATGGGTGCTCTTATGTTATATAGTTCTGGCAATTCTGTGGCTTTACTATTTGTAAATAAATAACTTATGATAGTAGAAGGTTTGGACCAAACCATCGAATTAAGATTTTTTAGTATAGTTTATTAATACAATTGAATAGACATTATAATATTTCTGTGTCTCTGTGTGTGACAATATCATAAGGCTTAACACATTAATAGCCAGTTTGTTTGTTTCATACATATATTGAGTATGTGTTCAGCTTGTACAAGGGTAAATGTTGAAATGAATAATCCTTCATTTATTACATTTGAGTGATTTGTTTTGCAGGAATCATATGAAGCAGAAAAATCAAGCAAACATACAGCTGTATTGAATAAAAAAAATGAGAAAATTCCTTTAGCTGAACACATGAGACCAGTTGAGTTAGCTGATCTTGTTGGACATATGGATTCCTTTGGGCCAGGAACAATGTTGCGGGCAATGTTGGAACAGGATAAAATACCTAATATGATTTTATGGGGACCTCCTGGCTGTGGAAAGGTAATTTACTAGTAGTATACATACATCCCTAAAGCAGATTGCATATCTTATCACTATGAAATAGCAAAGGAGGGAAAGAAAATGGAAGCACTTTGGGTCATGCCAACATGACCCAAAGGGGGTAAAAAACTTTTGCTGTTAACTATTTAAAAAAAACAATACCTATTGTGTGACCTACATGGTGAAAAGATAATAATTTTTTGTTGCGTTAAAAAAAATCCAATTTTTTTTCTCTTTTCAGTATTTAAGACAAAGACATTTTTCAAAGTTATAAAACATTAAACAAATGTTCAATTTTACATATTTTCAAAAAATTGTATTTCTGAGACTAACTAACTCTGTACCTTGATATTTTGGGAAATTAAACCTCTTTAGCATCTGTATGTATGAAAAGAATAACAACACAATCTGTGTAGTCAACGATACTAAAGCTGAGTCAAGAAAGCAATTTTAGAAATCTTTGAATTTGTATACAAATATATGAACTATAGATTTTTATGGTTTTCAGACATCTTTAGCCAATGTCATTGCAAACATTTGTAAAAAAAGCAAAACTATGAGATTTGTAAAGATGTCTGCCACCATGGCAGGTATTAATGATGTGAAGGAAATTGTAAAAATTGCAAAAAATGAGGCACAATTCAAAAAGCAAACAGTCCTTTTCATGGATGAAATTCACAGGTAGTAATACTATAATTTAAACAGGACTATTCTTAAAGTAGGTAGGTACTTGATTTTTAAATATTTTCACATAATGTTACATAGAAGCAGAAATATAATATCATATCATAAATAGAAAATATGATTGGACAGGCTTAAAATTAATTCATATTTGAGAGCATAATCTCAAATTGGTTTTGTGCCTTAAAATTCCGAATATTAGTTATAGTTCAAAACCAATTTTGTTGTTGCTACACAGTGCATCAGAGTTAAAATGTATACGTCGTAGCAAGTGGTATAATCAGTCTACCAATTGGGCGGCTAGCCCTTTAATTGAATGACCTTCAAATCATTTAACGGGCTGATTTTCCATCAGCCGAATAGTTTAACGCAACATTATACAATACGCCTGAATAAAGGTCAGCCAATTAATTAACTGTCAATTCATCAAGAATACTGAAATTTATTGGTAGGATTAGAAGTAAAATTTTATTTCAAACTACATAACTCCTTGTTACGATCTGTAATCAATATAGATGTAGGACTGATCAAAAAGATAATAATAAACTGCTTATTTGCGACTGGGTGTTAATGGTCCATATAACTAACTAGCAAGCTAACATACACACCCATTACGCAAGTGGGTTATGCTCAAACTTGCATAATAAATTTTTATACTACTACCAATTATACAAAGGCAAGATATACCGCGATTCAGACGGTCGCGATTCAGAGTAAGCAATGTATTTGACTGCAATGAGGAAGTATTTAAAAAAAGAAGGCACTAAAAAGCATCTCACTAGATAGCGACTCTAGCAAAAGTTGATTTTTGCAGGAAACAAAGGGACCAAAGATAGTTGGGGACCGTTCGTTGTAATTAATTAATAAAAAACTGATATTTGCTAAGTTTGAGACTGAGACATCAATACAAATATGAGTTGTTTATTGAGTTTTGAAAATTAATTTACTTTTATACATGAAAGAAAATCGGAAGATCAAGAAAGTACTGAAGCGACATTTAGTTTGATTTCGGGAACTAATGTCTTTTTTAATACTTATTGTTTTAGTATGTTTATAACGATTTAAAACACTTTGTGCTATGATAGTTGATATCCTATTTTTTTAACAGATAACTAAATTAAATGAACGTTTTAGGGGCTTTTAAATCAGCCGTCTCGTTGAACGGACATTCAATTAAATGGTTAGACATATACACATCTTATTATTATTATTTAGTTTATATTTATAATTTATTATTATTAGTGTAATAATCTGTTCATTTGATAAAAGTTTTAGATTTTAGTTGTTTGTAAAATTATATTTGGATTATACATTTAATTCAAAGTCAAAATTTTTAGGGCGTTTAATTTTTAAAAGGATCGAGGTGCAATATTTGTAAATAAAATTATCTATAATAATTGGACGCTATATCAATAGATGTGCGCCTTTAAAAACAATGACACACATCATATTTGTTTGAAGCTGTTGCAGTGATGTAGGTAGAGAAAAATAATTATTTATTATTTCAGATTTAACAAGCTGCAGCAAGATACATTTTTACCACATGTGGAAAATGGTACAATAACACTCATTGGAGCAACTACTGAGAATCCTTCCTTTAGTTTAAATAATGCCTTACTCAGTCGGTGTCGAGTTATTACAATGCAAAAGTTATCAATTGATGATGTTTTGGAAATATTGCAACGAGCTGTGAAAAACAATGATGATATAGTTATTACAGATTCTGAAGAGTCTATTGAAGATATGTGCAAGGATCATATTCCAAGGTATAGTTTTAATTCATGTTAACAAATAAGGAATAATTGAATAAAATAGGTAAATTCTATTTAGTTTTTTAGTTTCGTTAGTCATATAATAGAAAAATATTAGACTTGTTTGTTTCAAATTAATTAAGAAATTAGAAAATAGGTTTAGATAATAGGCATAAAAGTTGAAGAGTGGGGGTTTGCTACGTCCCAGTTTTGTAGAAAATGTACAAAACCGTGACGTCATGTTACATTTCAACTCAATTTATCACCGTAATTTATTGATTACGCAAAATATATAAAAAAATACGTGTTTAATATTAAAAAAAAAACAAAAAATAGTTGTCATCCCTATTAATTAATAATTTATTATTTTCAATGGCCAATATATTTTAGAAAAATATAAGTAATAGTGTAAAGAATGCAGTTAACAATGACAAAATGAATTTTTGTTTCGAATGATATATTAATTTAAACCGTGGGAGAGCCACGCTTCGGCATGAATGGGCCGGCTCGACCGGAGTGATACCACGACCTCACAGAAAACCGACGTGAAGCAACGCTTGCGTTGTGTTTCGTCGTGTGAGTGAGGGTACCGGAGGCCCAACCCCTCCTTATTCCCTTCCCTCTACCCCTCAACCCTTCCCTCCCTATGATCATATTCGTCCCTCAAAGGCCGGCAGCGCGCTTGTAGCTCCTCTGGTGTTGCAGGTGTCCATGGGCGACGGTAATCACTTACCATCAGGTGATGCGTCTGCTCGTCTGCCCCCTATCCCATAAAAAATCAATGAAATTGTCATCATCATCCTCTGCTAATAATCATGTTATTATCTAACAAGACAGATTATAATAGTTACAATTTTACGGCGATATTAGTAGATATTGGTAGCACTAGCAATTCTGTTGCACATATATTTAATATAGGTTTAGTATATGTGTAGTTTAAAAGATTTAACATACAGACAGTGGGATTGATTACATACGATTACGGAATAACGTTAAAACAAACTAGAGGTGGGCGGTGGGAAAAATCCAATGGGAAAAAAGCCCAGGTCTTTTCAGGGTTTTTTCCCAAATGTCGGGTTTTTATTTTTTATTAAGAATATATATATCGGAATCGTTTTATTAAAAGAGAGTTAACTGATTTTTCAATGCAGTTGCTCATAAAGCGCTATTTTTGTAATCCATTGTAAACACCGAAAGTGAGTCTTTAAACACGTGTTAAATAAAAATGCACTGAAATCCTTTACTGCACACGTGCTTAAAAATATATAATAACAAATAATTACCTTTAATACATACTTAGTTTTATTAACCTATGTATTTGTTTTATTTCCTTGCAAAAAGCATTGAAAAATGTTGTAAGAAATTTGAGGCTTTTTCTTAAAACCTTACGGTTAAAAAAGGTAAAACCTTACTTTCCTCGTATCTTAAATAACTATTAAAGTATCCTATTACATTCAACTATTTAATTCAATATATTGCATTATCTGCTCTATGTGTATATTCACTTACTTGACATTGTATGTCGTTTCCGAACTATTGTAATGTTACACAGTCATGGACCTACATCTTTTTAAACCGGGGCAGAAACCTGATAATTTTGACCACTAGGCGGCCTTATCGCTTAACAGCGACCTCTTCCAGGCAATCAATTTACAAAATATAATCACCAGAAATAGAGGGCTGTGTGCAAAATTCGGAACACAAAAAACATAACATGTTGAAAGGAATAACATACATACATAATATAACTATTGAAAATGAGGAATAAATACTACCTACTAGAGTAATACTAGCCAGAAACGAGAGAAGGATCATGCTCACCCGACAGATTAATGCGCTTAAAATTTAGTTATGAAAGTGTCTAGTGACTAAACTTTTCTTATAAAATTAGGTAGAGAATTCCATAACCGAATAGCGCGCAAGGTAAAGGATGTGCTATAAAACTTCATAGTTATCTTTTATATCTTTTTCTTTTCACATAGAATCATCGTGGCCAAGGAATCATTAATATGGTTGGCGGAAATTTGCGATGGAGACGCTAGAATTGCTCTAGGAGCTCTTGAACTTTCAATTATGTCTCGCGATTCAGATAACGACGTATGTAAGGACGGCCCGGCAATCCTCTCGCTTGATGACATTAAAAATGGTATCAAGGTAAGGAGCGTCTATGCACCTACCTGTATGTAAAACATATAAATGTCTAGTAGGCAGTGCCTAGCGCGATCAGTCTCCGATGCGGAGGTTTACCAACTTTCGCAAGGGTCGATCATGGGATGGGTGACCAGAAAATTATTATCTCGAATTCCTCCGTGTTTCGGAAGGCACGTTAAGTTGTGGTCCTGGCTGCATCTAGTTGGCATCTTGTTGGCTGCATCTGTAACATCCACCAATCCGCACTGGGCCCGTAGGTGAGTTTATGGAATGTTTTCCATATTCCTGGTATTGGATAGCCTGTGCCCTAGCAGTGGAAACATTGATAGCATTGATGATTTTCAGCGACAAAACTTGCTTGGTGTTAAATATGGCTCATTTTTCATGTATATTAAATTGTTTATCGGTGAGCTGCTTTGACTACACATGTGATTGGATTGACGAAAATACGGTTTTACTCTTATATTGTGTAATATTGTAATGGAAAATGACTTCATATTTTCAATCTTGACGCTCTGTATGAAATAAAACAGGGAGAAAAAAGCAGTCCTTGCCGAGTTTCTTGCCGGTTCTTCTCGGTAAAAGGTCTCCCGCCGTAGATTTAGGAACCGATGACGTAGCTCACGACTTTCACAAGTGCTTGTAACAGCTTAGACTGAATTAATAATTTTGTTTTTTTATTTTATTTTGATGATGAAATTGTTGTCTCTAACAAAACCAACTTTTTGGTTAAATATGTAATTTTGAATAAATATGTAATTTATGGTTTTTTAAGAGAACCCACATGTTGTATGACAAAAAAGGAGACGAACACTATAATATTATATCGGCGATTCATAAGTCTATTAGAGCAAGTGACGATAATGCTGCTCTCTATTGGACTACGAGGGCTTTGCATGGAGGTGAAGATCCATTGTTTATAGCAAGGCGACTTATACGTGCCGCCTGTGAAGACATTGGTGATTATGTAGTTAATGTATACTTAATATTTTTTCTTTTATTTTTTTTATAAATAAATCCCGAAGTAAAAAACTAAATGGCGCCATAAAATTGATTTTTAATGTATTATGTAACATACTATAATAAGGTTAAAAAAATACCTATGCCCTAAATGTATCTAATTAGAAGTTGTGCACGTTGTGCAGAGATAAATCTTTAAATAACGCGTCGACGTCTGCAAATTTCTGTAATTATTCGAAAATTTTACGGTCAGTGCAAATCTGACGGGAAATTATTTAAGCATCTTGGCACGTTTAACATCATACCTTGGCAATTAGTGAACGCTTAATTGGTGTGGTGGTTAGTAATTCACTACAAAAGCCATAGAAGTGACTGACAAGCAGAACCACGATTTTATGGTCTAGACGTCAGGTTTGAATCTTGTCAGAGTTTTCTTAATTCAATGTTAAAAATTATATTACAGAGCACACATGTCAGTCTACCAATATGTCAAATATATCTGTTCGATTTTAAACTATACCCTCAAACTTTTATGTTTAAAATTAAATGGAGTAATTTGGTATATTAGTATATTATGACATGCTGCTGAATGTGCGTTTCTACTGTAAAGAATCAAATAAAAAATAGAAGAAAATTTCTTAAATACATATTCAATTGATCGTATGCAGGTTTAGCAGATTCAAGTGCTCTTGTAGAGGCCGTGGCGTGTTTGCAAGGTTGCCAGCACATAGGAATGCCAGAATGCAATGTGTTATTGGTGCAGTGCGCTGTTCGACTTGCTAGAGCTCCCAAGAGCCAAGAAGTTTACAGAGCTATGAAAAGATGTCAACAACATTTAGAAGGAATGAAAGGGCCCCTTCCCTCGGTTCCGCTTCATTTAATAAATGCACCTACAAAATTAATGAAACAGTTAGGTTTGTATCAATAAACTTATGAACACTAATAATAGGATAAGTAGAAAAAACACAGAAAACATTGTATAGACTTTATAGGTCAATCCAATAGAGGATAGGACAGTAATCAGATAATAAATTATAATGTTTTGTTAAGAAGTTCATAACGTTATAAAGGTAACGATTGTAGAATATTTTTGCCAAATAACTGTGATTTCAGAATTTAATTCAGAAATGTAATTACAATTTTCGAATCTTTTTAGTCTGTCTCGCTCACGTCATGCGTGATGTCAGTCGTGATCGTGGGTAATAAAACGATAAAAAAGGAATCGGTCAATTTTTGTATTTATTTCCGTATTTGAATATAAAAACTAAAAAGGTATTTATTTTTTTTAGTGAAAGTTCCTTGTTTCTTTGCACAAATAGATTATTCCAAACAGTGGCGTAACTATACCGTTTGAGGCCCGTGGCAAATTCATCGGATATTTAATTTTTTTATTAATTGCGTAATAATAAATGTCAGGAGTAAGGAGTTTCCTCTGATTGGGGGCCCCTTCCAGATGAGGGCCTGCGGCATTTTGCCGACTTGCCACACTGTAGTTACGCCACTGATTCCAAATAAGTATTAGGCGACATCAGGGCAGAAATCCGTGAAGTCTTAACCACCGCCGCCTTTTTGCTCATTTAACACTTCAAGGCGTTGTAATTATGGCAAAACTAACACTTGTGACAGCTGTGATGTCAGCGTTCACTACGATTATCTCCTAAAATTACCAAAACTAGGTCATAATGTTTAAATGAACAAAACCGGGTCGGTCATCTACACTGCATTGTTCAGATACGTAACATATAAGTAGCTAAAACAATGTATTATGGAAATAACGCCACGTTGCCCAAGTTGACGTTTACGTAGCATTTTTTAAAAACAAGTAGTGTCCAATAAAATGTCCCCTATTATAAAATATCAAACTGATTTTAAATATCATTTACATTTAGTTTATTTTTTAGGTTTCGGGAATGGTTACAATATGTTGCATAAAGATGATTCGGGTCTCACCTATATGCCTGAAGGTATGGAGAATTACGATTTCTTCAACGCATCTGGAGATTAAAATATGAAAACTGTAATAAATAATTACTAATAAAACCACAGGACTTCTAGTGTCAATGTTTTATTTATTTTGAGATAATCTCATTTCACAATTGAATGACATGGTAAAAATTTATATTTACAAGACACGAACTGTAATATTACAAATTTACTTAATATTGTACCTTTTGTAACATTGACGGCATTAGCCGAATTTTCGATCCTAACCTTATAAAAATAAAATAACATATCTTATTTTACAACATTTACTACTGCACATTGTGCACAGACACTCCATAATAATTTACATCATTTTCAACTACAAACTACACACTTGATTTCTTCAGATTTTTTTTTATTAATATCTAGAAATATGACTTATCAAATTAATTCCTAATTATGTGATCTAAAATAAGTAGATACAGATACCGCGCGAACGAGACCAAAATGTGAGTCTGAGAAAAATATCACTGACTTCGATATTTCGTTTATATAACTAATGCGCTTTTGTCAGAATTAGCTTATTATGCATAACAAAAAATTACTTTTTACTTTTTGTCTTTCTAAAAGTTATTGCTGGGTCTTCCTTGTATTGTAGGCATAGATGTGTCAGAAATAGAAAAACAAAAGAACAAAATAGCTTGATAGATTCTGTACAAGGGAGCCTTAATTACATATATCTTAAAAACTTAACCTACGGCTACAAGCGAAAATTTAACTAAGCACTCTAAATAAAAATAAATTAGAATCAGACTTCTAATTTCGATCCTAATGTGACAGGAACAAAGAGTGGATAAAGTCCAGTTTTAAAATAATACCTTAGTGGTGGTGTATTACACTTAAATGTTCACAGGTCAAAGTTCATAAAATAACTAGGTATGTTATTGTGTATATAATTAATATTGACATAAAGTTTATATAAATGGAACGTTGTAAAAATCAAAATTTTGTATGTATATATAATATAGCTGTTGCTAAAATTGATTATATTAAAATATATAATCAGGGCCGGCCATGTCGATCGCCCAGCGAAACTTGTCACGTTGAGTTTTGTTGTAAATCTTTTCAATAGGGACCCCATGCTTTTTACACCTGAAAATAAGTCCTCATGTACAGACAATTCATACAATATGTTTGGTATAGTACTATTACTATATTATAAATTTGAAACTTACCAAGCAACTGATATACGAGGATCTAGATAATTCAGCTTGGAGGTGCCCAGAGCAATAGTTTTATTTTCATCACGGTCAGTTTCTTGCAATTCAAGTTTCTTAAGTTGCTCTCTCAAACGTTCTAAAGCTTTCTTTTTCTTGTCGCAATTCATCTTTTCTTTAACTGAGCCACGTTTCGCGGCCTTTGTAGCCTCCCGCAAATCTTCCTCAGCTTCATCCACTTGATCACGTTTTGCTTGAATTTTTTCTTTCAAAGCTTCCATCGACTTAGAATGCCCTAAAATGGAATAACAGATTACATTATGATTTATCAAGCAACATAAATAACTTGCAATAAGTAACATAAATAAATTGCAATGAATGAAGTAAAACTACTTTTAAGAATATTTACCTTTAGGAACTGCTCTCTGATGGTTACATAGTATGGCTACAGCACGGTTAGCCCTATTATAAGCCAGTATTTTTTCTGGTACTGAGGCATTACCATCTGTGAGCTCATCTAATTGTCTTTGTAATGTAATAGAGGCATTGTAAGTACGGAAAACTTTTGCAGTTAAACCTGGCATAAGATCTTTCAAATGTTCATTCAATGTTTGTGTATTTAGTCTGTCAAATAAATCATCACTGTCTTTCTTGTTTTCCATGAAGAGCTCGAGGTTTTTGAACACTCTCTTCTCTACTGGTACTTCATTATAATATCTGATTGAATCTTTACCGAGGAAATCAAAAACAACTACATATTCTTTACCATCTTTCTCTTTATGTAGTTCTATATGTTCAACACGTAAAGAACAACAACCAACAGTGTCAGCTTGGTCATCATCTTTTTCATTACCTGCTCTCAATGCAAGACGATCAATGAAGTATAAAGCGACAGCTCTTTGTCGAACTCTCATTTCCTTGGCTTTCCAATCTTCGCGGTAATTATCTCTAATAGTGTCTATACACTTATGTAGTTTCCGAGCTGTTTCATATTTTTGCCAATCTTTTTCACCTTTAAGTTTAGAACTAGGGTTTAACATCACGTACTTGGCTTGTCCTTGCACATTTTCTGTCCAAGACGCCAACCATGTGACTGTATTATCATGACGGACTTCCTTCCATTTATGTCCTGCAGGTGGTTTGGGTACTTTACTGTCTTTTGAGCAGTTGATTAGTACATCTTCTGGCATTACTCGCCTTTTTAGCATACCCATTTTTGGATGTTCACCTCTACCTCTAAATAAGCCTGGAGGTTCTATTCTAAAGTTGCCAATTTTCTCTTTATGGCCATCTATTACACAGAATCCATATTCTTTTTGAATCTCTTCATTTTTAGCCTTAAGTTCAGCTTTCTCTTCTTTTGACCTGTTTCGATTTTTTTCTGATTGACTTTGGAAAAATGCATGCATTTCCTTAAAGTCACATTTTGAGAGATCCTTAATTATTTTAGTTTCTTCATGACTCATCACTTTACGCCAATCATTGAAGAAGTTAGTATTGAATGCCGGTTTAGTTGTATAATCGTGATCAAGCATACGAGCATAAAATCCTGCAACTTCTTCTGCATCTTGTGAAAGTCTCATCTCTTTACCATCATAACGGAATTTGACATTAGCCGGCAATGGCTCGTATGGCGGCGCAAATAGAGGGCCTTTGTGTTCAAGGAATTTCCATTTTGTGCCATCATCTTTCTTTTCTTCTTCCCACCTGAAATAAAAGAGTGCAGGTAAAAAATAATTTCCCAACAGTATAAAAGTTAATGATCCACAAAATTATTAACACACTTTATTCGCCGACGTCTTATATGTCTAACGCTCACATATACTAGCTTTTCTTTCAACAAGGGACGAAAAGTTACGAATTTTATTAAAATTGACATAAACATAACTACATAACCTCAAAAACGTCACACACTTTTAAATAGGGCGATCAGTACTACAGTAAAAGCATCTTAAAAGTTGACAGCAAATGTTGCTTAAGTGGTTTTGAGTTTTATCGACAGATGGCGGTGATTCATGTTTTTTAGCGTGTACTTTTTTTAAAATAAGACATTATTATGAAAGTTTGTGTTGCTTACTTTGCAACAAAATTATTATTAGTTGTGCTGATGTTATTGACCTGCGTATATTCAGCACGCCAACAAAAATTAGTGAGGCGAAGATTTGTGGCATTTACTCATTATTGGTAAATAAGTCCATAGACAATGTATCTCCATAGATAAAACCTCAGCAGTCCCCAGATCACAGTAAATTACTAAGTTTGAAAATAACTTTAAAATATAAATAATTAGTATTAGAAGCTAAAATTGTATGTTTGAATTACTGGTCTATTTTCTGGGTCAGCAATCTTCAAAAAACTTTTTATCTTGATAAAAGTTAAAGCTGCAAGATATATTGACATAGACAGATATTGTAAATTACCTACAATTAATATAAAGACAGGAGATAGAAATTACAAGAATACTCACCATTTCCAAACTTCTTGCTCATCCTCTTGTTTTTTCTTTCGTTTGGTTGGACTTGCATTATCATTTGTTTCAATTTTAGTTTTACTTGCCTTTGGCTTTTCTACTTTTTTTTTCTTTTTAGGCTTTTCGTCTTCTTCCTCTTCATCATAATAATCAGGTTCTAGAAAAAACACTGGACATTATATTCTAACCTTTTTAAACATTTGTATATTTATAGTCAATATATGTAATATAAAATTATACTTTGTCACTCTTAAATTTAGCAAACAGTTACATTGTTATATGTTGATTAGTATTGCATCAATAGATAAAATCCAACATCAACATTAACAAAACATCAATCAATATTATAGACAATGCTTATACTGTGGATACTTAAAAATTTACTGTTGATTAATAAATTAAATTTATACCTTTCTTCACTTTCTTCTTTGATTTCTTGCGCTGAAGTAACGGAATGTCCTCTTTGCTTTCACTAGGCATACGTCTCTTAACAGCTTTACGCTCCGACTAGTAAATTATAAAACAAGCACAAAATAATTGCATGTATTCAATAAATCTTACTAATATTATAAATGTGAAAGTTTGTGAGGATGGATGTATGTTTGTTACTCTCACAAAAAAACTATTGGGACAGATTTTGATGAAATTTGGTATACAGATACTTCTGAGGTATCTCTCTAAACATTCCATTAGTGGTCAGTTGTAAGGTCTTATTACCGCTGGTATTATTGTGAACTCATTAATTACATTTCATTTTAAAGATAATAAAATCTATAATACTTACCAATGGTTTCTCTTCTTCAGCACTTTCTTCATCATCTGGTAATTCTGCAAGCGGTTCATCTTTGAATTGTGACAGAGAGTAATCACAAGATGATACAGTTGTATTGGCAGCTGGATAACCATCATCACTTTCTTCTTTGATATCAGATTTTATGATCAACTCGTCTACCTGTGAAGTAAGTGTGTAAATATATTGTAAATTCAATCCATTCTTATATTTGAAATCTGTCACATTTCAAAATATACATAAAATCATGTTCGTGGAATATGAAAGATTATTGTCAAGCTTTATGGTTACATGAAAGGAATGGTATTTAGTAAGAGGACTATCCAAATCATTAACATTTATAGTATTTAATTGTCACATTATCCTTTTATTGGATGGATAAAAATAATAACAACACTTGTCTATACCATAAATATTTTCACAAACTTATCAAATTAAGCAATACATCAAAGTGTAAAAAATGGCAGTCTCATTTTAATCAATGCAAGTTAAAGGTAGTATATACTTGTAAAAGGCAATATACGAACCTGCATTGGTTCTTCTTTGACAGGATACTCCTGGGAACTATATTCTGTCTTGATCTTTTCAGACTTTTCCTCTTTAATTTTATCCCTTGACTTACTAGAGCTGTAAAAAAAGGAATAATGGTATTAATTGACTATTAGAAGTACAACTACATATTTGGTTAGACATAAAATTGGATTTGTAATATTTACTAATTAAGATTTTCAACCAAATTATATTTACAAGCTGTGTGTGAGAATGGACAAAAAGTGGTTAAATAAAGGCAGTGATTCAGAGAAAATGAAGTTTAGTGCAGAACCATTTTTTCAATCATTATTGTTTTTTTTTTAGTAAAAATACCCGTATACTTTGTTCATTTGTAGACACATATATAAAATATCTATGTAAATTATATATACTATATATTCGGTAAATGGTATTCTATTAGAATAACCTCTACTATAAACACACATGCTTTGTGGCAAGAAGTTGGAAATATGGAAAACTTATATAAAATATTCTAAAACTTAAAAAAAATCCAAGACTTATAAGTTTTCGAATATTATGCTTTAAGTACCTGTGTTTGTCTTTTGAGCTGGAGTGTTTATCTTTGTCACTGCGAGACTTGTCACTCCTTGATCGATCTTTGTCATGGTCACGATCTTTGTCTTTAGATTTGTGTTCTTTTGATGATGAGCTCTTGTGATCTTTTTCTCTAGATGAGGACTTTTTTTCATCACTGTTACTGTTCTTATGTCTGTCCTTGTCTTTTTCACTTCTTTCCCTTTCCTTGTGTTTTTCCTTGTCACTGCGATGTTTGTCCTTGTCTTTGCTACTGTGCTCTCTGTCGCTGCGATCCTTGGTTTTATCACTTCGCTCTCTGTCTTTATCACTGCGTTCCTTGTCTTTGCTGGATGACTTATGAGAGCTACTATGATTCTTGCTGCTTGAATGTTTATCCTTTTCTTTATCTCTGTATAAAACAAAGATAATATTGGAGTAAATATCGTAATATGCGATAGTTAAACGGAACTTTCTGGAAAACTAACCTGCTTGAACTGCTGCTATGTTTGGAAGAGCTCTTGTGGTCACGGTCTTTATCGCGGTGCTTGTCCTTGCTCGAAGACTTTTGACTGGACTTATGCTTTTCCGAGCTGCTGTATCCGTTGTGAATACCGTTCACGTGTTCACTTTTGTTGCCGTTTACTTTTCCCTGTAATAATATATCGTATAGAATTTCTTAAAGTAAAATCAATAATTATATCAAAATTATAAGGTTATACAAGTCAATAAAGTAGACATTGTGTGAATGCAGATAGTAATACAAAATCGTCTAAATCAGAGGACAAATAATTTCAACTAGAGTCCTTTGGTAGACGCCATATTGGGACTTAGAAAATTTTCGCATCGCATCGGTGGAGGTACACTAGTAAACCGAGCCAAAGGGCTACTACTTTAACTAAAAAATAATACCAGAAGACAAGAAATACAAAACTTAACAAATCTAATTACTTACAGATTCACAATCATTATCATTGACTGGATTTTCGACACTCATTTTGCCTACGTATCACTAACGTTATGCGAGCGAGATTACATGAGGCTCCACGAGTAAGCGAACGAGAAAAGCGAGGCGCAACGCAAAAATTCTAAGTGCCGAGAAGTGACGAATGCGCATGCGCCGTTCTGTCCAGATTCAGACGAACTTCAAGAGCTTTGGTTCAATGGACGCATTCATACGAACTTCACTGTCTATTTGAATATTTGGTCCATTGGTCTCAGGATTAAGAGACAGGTTATTAAAATTAAAAGTAACGCACAAAGTACTTTATAATATTATACTATTGATATCAATTATGTTGTATCGGGGAGTCTTTAAAAAAAATTAAAAACGATCGGCCTGAAATAAATCGGACACTCGCGTAGAAGGTTCCGTCTTCTGTTCTATATATTATATTCAGATTTTTAATTTATACCTAAAAATCTATGAGGCCCTTATGTACCATTTAGGGACTGTTCACATCGCGGTTTTTAATCGCGCGTATTTAATTTCACAATGACATAACACCTTGTCCGCATTGCTGTTAAAATTCCGCGCGATTTTTTTTTGTCAGTTTTATGTAACTCCCCGTAGAGACGAACGTAAAAATAGACCAAGTGCGAGTCGGACTCGCGCACATAAGGTTCCGTACCGGAAACGAACAAAAAATCATGTTTGATGTAGGGAGCCCCCTTAAATATTTATTTTATTCTGGTTTTTAGTATTTGTGAAAATTTCAACTATCTAACCTTCGCGATTTATGACCTAGACAGACAGCGAAGCCTTAGTAATAAGGTTTCCGTTTTACCCTTTGGGTACGGAACCCTAAAAATGAATTACAGAGAATTGTAATTAATAATTTGTTTGATTCAATTCAATATTTCTTCCCACAACCTTGTTTTTAATTGCCTATCATGGTAGTTTGCCTGAAATTTGTCCCATAGGGATCAACATAACCATAGGGGAGGCCTATTTTGAATTGACATTATAAACATTTCAATATCAATTTAGTTAGTAGACGAGAGACGAACCGTGTAACATCAACCCACTGCTTGTGCTGATGCATGACGGAGCAATCGCGAAAATATGTAACTTAGTAAACGTGATTTTTTTCCGCAAGTGCGGATATTCTCATAGGGTGATAATTCGCGCAAAATAAAATCGCGATACGGACAGTCCCTTACATGAGGCCAGTAACTGATATAGTCCAGTACGCCAGGCTAGTATTATAAATAGAAAATAGAAACCATTGTATTTCATTTAGACTGAATCCCGTTACTTTGCTTATTTAAACTATATTAGATAAAGCTTTCTGCAGGTGAAAGAATTTATATAATCGGTTCAGTAGTTTCGGAACCTACTCGATGCAAGCCATGTGCAAATAAACAAATCTGTTCTTTTTAATATATTAGTATGGATACAGGATCTTAATAAATTATGTTTTAATTTGTCAATTGGAATCTACATTGGAGAATTTTGGTTTTTTGTAGTAATAATTAGAGTAATTTAGGTCATCGCAGACTTACTCCGCACGGCGCCAACCTATGTCATATAATAAACTTTCTTATGTCAATACAAAAAGAAATGGTAGCTTGAAAAAAAAAAATCTCCAATTTTCGTTCATTTCCATTTTACATGTAGATATTATTCACTTGACATTGGCAGAGTTGAATGATAAAAGAAGCTGTCAACTTTGTTTTTTATAATGATGTTATAATATATGTATATGATGTATAATAAATTACACGAACTTAATGATCAATGACAAGTTAATTGTCTATACCTTGTATGTCTGTACCTTTACATGAAAAAAAAGTTACAAACATTTTACATAAACTTATAAAATATTTTATTTAATTATCATCATTATGTAGTTCATTTTAATTATTTCATTATTAATAATATAATTTTCAACATCATTTCTTATCTGCAGAAGTTATGTAGGAGGGCTTGCCATTAGAGTCCCATACATGTTTTTGTTTCTTGAAAGCAAAAGCCATGTATATTGCTGAAAAAAGAGAATTTCAATTAATTATCTGTCACATTTGAAATTTTATTGGAAAAATAAATGTTTACTGAAATGTAGTTAATTATAAAAACAGCAGATTGGACATACTTGCTACCTCCCATTCACATACACTCATAGTTCCAATACAATCTCTAGTATTGCTTTTATCCATTTCATCCCAGATGATGCGTGCATGTTCATATTCTGATGGTTCTCCTATTAGCTCTTTACCAGGACGTGCTGGGTAACTTTCAAAGCAAATTATTCTTTGTAAAAGCTGCTTATATTTTTCTGTATGATCTTTGTAAAAATCGGAAAATCTTGCTTTGTACACTAATTCCAAACCATACTCTGCAGCTAATTTCACTAATAGATCAAAATTAACAAGAAATTCTGGGCAATCCACTACACCTTCTAAATGAAAATCATATTTTGCTCCAAAAAGTGGATAGCCCTCTTTTGGATCAAAGAGTAGTTTTATGTTAAAAATCCTGTTTCCAAAAGCAAAATTTTGAGATTTTTGAGCTCGAGAGACAATCTCATATGCATCTGGAATGGTCCCAAAAAAATAACCATCTGGCTTTAAACATTCAGATATATTTGTGAGCATTCTTCTAGCTTGGATTAGACTTTCAAAACTATAATGAAAACCAAATTGGCAACTGACAATATCAAAGTTGATTGATGGATCGGCATATTTATCACGCAGAGTATCTTTAGTACAATCTGCTGCTATAAATTCTGCTGAATATAGATGCCCACATCGCCGTCGTAGGTCTTCATATCTTGTTTCACATTGCTGTACTGACACTTTGGCTATATCAGCAAAAATTACACGTTCAACTCTAGCTTTCTGCCATTTGCTTAAATCACCACCTTTGCCACAGCATATGTCCAATACTTTTAATGGTTTTCCATAGTCTTTTTCTCGTATTTTGTCTGTATATTCTTGGATAAGAACACTTTTTACCCAATTATTAAAATTCCTTAGATAAAAAATAGGAGAGTTGAATCTTTCTTTTAAACCTTTTTCTTTTAAATGATTGTAATGTGCAGCAACTACGGAAGTATGTTCTTCAATTTTTTTACTCGAGGGCGCGTCTTCATCGTCACTCTTTGGAGCACTAATGTTACTATTGGTAGGATTGTTTTTATCGTAGTCCGTAGACGCTTCGAGGGATTCTATGTGAGAGCTCATTTTAGGTTATTCTAATTTATATATAACTCTAAAATTCTTTAATCGTTCCTTGTTGTCTATTTTGAAGCGTTTCTTATTTCATTGTCAAGCAGATATTTCTATGAAGAAGAGAAGTTAAAATAAAATAAAACCATACACATTAAACAAACGTCAAAGGCGTCAAAGACCACAGACGAACAAGGAGATACACCAAAGAGTATCTAAAAGTAATAGATACACACAGACCAAGAAGGAGGTACTGTCAATGAGTATGATGAACGCCACCGGTACGTGTGTGGCATAGATTTTATCTACGTGTGTGGTGACACCGGTGGAAAGGCACCGAAAGATGTAGGAATGAGGAACTATTTAAATAAAATAAAGAAACTACAAAAATTTATGTCACTAGATAGCAGCACAAATTATTGGATCTAAAGTGGATCTTAATGTCAATTCATGACGTTAAACCAAAGAGAATAGAATTGTCAGTGTTGTTATGGATCTGATAACTCGGATTAATATCGAGTTGAAATTTAATTACTTCGAGTTATGCAAACGCAACTCGATTTTTGAATAAATTTCTTTTTTATTTGTATAGAGGAAAATGGACACTAAAATAATGGAAGTGAGCACAGAGGTTTTTTTAAAAATTTATGGAAATCAATTGAATTACTGCTGTGGTATAATTAAAAGTGGCATCTAGCTACGGTTTACAATAATATTACCGCCAAATAGTTTTTATAAATAAAATACTTATGCTATAGTAGGTTTAGGAATTATTCATTATAATATTTAACAAAAGTTCTGAAAACAATAATAGCAAAAGACCGACACAGCCGAAAGTTTCAAGTCAGGTTACATGCAAACATCATTTTGTTCGACAAATATTTCAAAATAAGAGATAAGTAAAAATAGAGTAAAAAAAATTTAATTTCTATTTGTTGAGAGTCCTATAACGCGCATGCGCAATATCGATTGTGCGCAGATAACAATGGACCGCGAAATACATTAATTTAATTTAATTATTTACCGATATCTTGATGATATTCGATGCTGAAAATGTCCATTTCCTCTCTGAAGACTGAGCTAAGCACGCTCTTTTGCATGCCGGTGCATGCATGCGCAAAACACATCACATTTCACAAACAACTAAACACAATCTTTACTTAACTACACTTAACACTCAAGACGAACACTGTAGTATCTTATTAACAAAAATTAAATTAAAAATGCACTAGAACAAAACAAAAATCGACAAGAAAGGCGCTTCGCAGCGGTGCATCGGCGGCGATGCGCAACAACACTCCAGCGCAAATGGTCGGCGGCGACTGAGCTCCGTTAGGAGTTGTATTATTATTTTATGCGACTGAGTTACGGGAACCCCCGACAGAACAATGAAGCGGGGTGGCGGTTGTCAGGCGGGTGGGGCTTTTATCCAGGGTCAAACTCGGTTCACCTTTTTTTAATTCGTCTTTTGATATTATGCATTTTATAATGTTCTATTTAATTTAAGTAATTGCTTAAATACTATTCTAATAACAAATTCCTCAATGTTTTTAAAATAAAGTACATTTGTGTTAGTGGTGAATCGCTGAAAGATTTGTGAGTTTATCGAGTTTAATTAACGATCCCGATTGTTAAAGGAGTATTACCCCATTCAAACAATTTTTTTGGAGACTGTTCTTTTAAAATAACGTAGGTTAATGTTATACTGATTTATCTACAATAATTTAGAAAATTTTACACTCGGTTTCTGAATTGAGAATTTAAAGTTAAACGTCTCAAACTAACATCACTTAGTTTTCGTTTCCGATTTTACTTTTTTGGTGATCAGTTGATAGCAGTTTGATAAAACTATGACTATTTGACTTGTGAAATTAAAAAAACTAAGGTTATTTAGAATAAGCAGTAGAGATTATCTACTTTTTTCAAATCAGAAACCGGCTGTTAGTCTGTAAATCGATTTAAGCATTTTGAAAGTATTGTTTATTGATTGTCTGGTATTATTTGCATGGAAGCGATCTTATAAATTACAAACTAGTTTATTTCGTTTTTAGAAATGAAGAAGTCAATGACCAATTAAAAACTTTTCTTTAGTACGTCCCAAAGCAGCTGACTCAGGGTTGAAAACACAATTTTTTTCCAAAAACTTTGAAATTTAATATCTCCGAAACTATTTGACCTAGGCATATATTTTTTTTTACATCATATTAAAGATAAATAGTACTCTCCAGGAACTTCGGGAGTGTCGGTCGTTCTGTTCCACAGACGTTTCTTATTGATTGCTGAATGTATACCCGGTGTATACATTCAGCAATCAACAAGAAACGTCTGTTCTAAACGAACAGCAAGGTTATAATTTTAAATTTCAAAATCACAAAGACACTTACAGTTATTATACTATTGCTACTGATCTTGCATAGCGACGGCGGACGTCGAGCCATGTGTTAAGTTGATTCGTACGGTGGGTATGTACTTTTTGGTTCTTACAATAATATTGTTAATAATAGGTTGACTTCCTACACAACCTACTCTAGAAATCAGTATTATTGAAATTATGTAAATACCAAGTATCTAGAGTAGTCATGCTCTCTTAAAATCTCTGCGGTGGTGTCGTGTGCATTAGGTCGTTACGTTCCCTCAATTATAGTATAGTTGAAATGAAAAAAGCAGCTCTTGCTGAGTTTCTTGCCGATTCTTGTCAGTACGAGATCTCCCGCCTTAGTTTTGCGAACCATTGGCAAATTTTTCGACTTTCATAAGTACTATGTGACAACCTAGACTGAATTGATTTTGATAATTATATTAATATCATTAGTTTTGTGGATGCATAATGACACATACAAATACAGGCTGAATTCTGCGGTCCGCTTTTTGTTCTTTATTCCAAACCTGAATTCTGATAAAAGTTACAAGCAACCAATAAGTTGGCTCATCACTAATTTTGACGTATCAATCAAACATAGTTCCTTTTAAACACACTTAACATAATAAACAACTCAAACTTACGATTAAAACAAATTAAAATTAATTTGAAAGTTAAATATTATAAGAAACACAAAACGATGTCATATTTATTAATTTTCGATCCTCAATTTACTTTAATTACGTCAGAAACAAAATTTGAATGAATATCATAACAAAATCAAATATCGCGAGTGACATCTAGTATGATTTCTGTTAAGTATATACATACCAAAGACAAGTATATGAAGATACTTGTTCCTAGTTCTAAGTTCTTAACATGTTTTAGTTGCTTAGTAACTTGTTGTTATTTTTATAAGAAGAGTTTCTGTTATGTTTTCTTCAGTCAGTAAATAGTTTATTCGAATTCAATAGATATTCTCATTCATTCTTAACATGGTAGCAGAGCGTTTAAATGAGTAAGTAAATTATATTTAAAAATATAAGAAAACTAGAATATCTAGTCTGTACGAAAAATGTCGAATATCAGGATCGACCCATTAACAAAAAACAACTATGATACTTGGGTCATTCAGGCTGAAGCAGTGCTTATACGCCACAAACTGTGGAAATATATTGAAAATACTTTAAGTCCTGATGCTAGTGAATCTGAGAAAGATGGAGACAAACAAGCGAAATCAGAATTGATACTTATTATCGCTCCGTCAGAACTCAAACAAATTAAGCAATGCAATACAGCAAAACAGGTCTGGGACAAGTTGAAGTCCATTTATGCAAGTAAGGGACCTGCGCGTAAAGCATCCTTACTGAAGCAATTAATCCTAACAAAACTCGAAGAAAAAGATGTTCGAACACATCTGAATAACTTCATGGACATTGTTGACAAACTATCGGATATGGACGTACATATCAATGAAGATTTGCTGACAATAATGTTGCTTTACAGTCTTTCTGCTGAATACGACAATTTCAGAGTGGCTATTGAATCACGAGACGTTCTTCCTAAGCCAGAGGAGCTTAAGACAAAAATTATTGAAGAATCTGATGCGCGTCACAACAGAAACTTAGTTAATAATGAAGAACCTGATTTCTCACAACAAGAGGATGCACTGTATGCATCTTGTAGAGTTTGCAAACGAAGAGGTAATATCTTCAAACGCAAATATCATAAAATTTGTACAAATTGTTTCCAAACAAATAAAAACAAAGAAAAGCTCAACAAGAGGTACGACAACTCATTGAAGAATCACTTCGCCACTCAATGCCTCCTTATACGTAACGGGAAGTCTGATAACAACAATTGGGTGTTAGACAGTGGTTGCACATCTCATATGACCTATCAACGAGATTTATTTAAAGCTTTAGAGAGTACATCAAGAAAATTAAACTTTGCAACTGAAGATTTTACTGCAGATATTAAAGGAAAGGGTACAGTCACTTTTCAAACTAAAAATGGTGATAAAAGAGCTATTACGCATCTTCAAAACACTCTTTATGTTCCTAGTTTGCATACGAATCTAATGTCAGTCAGCAAAATGACAGACGCTGGCTGTACTGTTCATTTTTCTAAAAATAAAGCGACTGTCAATAATCACAAAAAACGAATCACTCTCACTGCATTTAAACAACAAGATGGCCTTTACTATATTAATCCCTACAAACTTGAGCGTAACAATATGGCCAATGATAAACTTGTTATCGTTCCTAACGTGCGCAAAATAAATTCATCGAACATAAATGATTGGCACAGAAAATTAGGCCATATGAATGTTAAAGATATGAAATTTGCACTTAATAAAGACTACTTGATTGGCTTAAATTTTGATAAATCTGAATCATTAAATGAATGTGAAGCCTGCATTCAAGCCAAGTTACATCGGGTACCTGCGCCAGTTACAGTGAATCAGCGAACAAAAGCCTGCCTAGAAATAATTCATTCTGACGTCTGTGGACCATTTCGAACGGCATCGGTACGTGGAAACAAATACTTTGTTACCTTCATCGACGACTATACTCGATACTCTAGAGTTTATCTAATGAAAAACAAGGACGAAGTTCTCCATTATTTTAAAGAATTTAAAGAGTTGGCTGAAACGCATTCTGGAAATAAAATCAAGTTCATTCAGTCTGATAACGGTAAAGAGTATGTAAATAAAGAATTTGATTCTTATCTCAAACGTTGTGGGATACAGCGTAGGTTAACCGCACCCTATACTCCGAATCAGAACGGAATTGCCGAACGT